ATTTCTGGCTCCCGGTGTCTTTTATACAGGCAACGAGCTGAGATTATGAGCACACTCTTAAAGGGAGTGCTCCTAATCTCAGTTTGTTACCTGTATAAAAGACACCTGTCCACAGAAGCAATCAATCAATCAGATTCCAAACTCTCCACCATGGCCAAGACTAAAGAGCTCTCCAAGGATGTCAGGGACAAGATTGTAGACCTACACAAGGCTGGAATGGGCTACAAGACCATCGCCAAGCAGCTTGGTGAGAAGGTGACAACAGTTGGTGCGATTATTCGCAAATGGAAGAAACACAAAATAACTGTCAATCTCCCTCGGCCTGGGGCTCCATGCAAGATCTCACCTCGTGGAGTTGCAATGATCATGAGAACAGTGAGGAATCAGCCCAGAACTACACGGGAGGATCTTGTCAATGATCTCAAGGCAGCTGGGACCATAGTCACCAAGAAAACAATTGGTAACACACTACGCCGTGAAGGACTGAAATCCTGCAGCGCCCGCAAGGTCCCCCCGCTCCAGAAAGCACATATACATGCCCGTCTGAAGTTTGCCAATGAACATCTGAATGATTCAGAGGAGAACTGGGTGAAATTGTTGTGGTCAGATGAGACCAAAATGGAGCTCTTTGGTATCAACTCAACTCGCAGTGTTTGGAGGAGGAGGAATGCTGCCTATGACCCCAAGAACACCATCCCCACCGTCAAACATGGAGGTGGAAACATTATGCATTGGGGGTGTTTTTCTGCTAAGGGGACAGGACAACTTCACTGCATCAAAGGGACGATGGACGGGGCCATGTGCCGTCAAATCTTGGGTGAGAACCTCCTTCCCTCAGCCAGGGCATTGAAAATGGGTTGTGGATGGGTATTCCAGCATGACAATGACCCAAAACACACGGTGAAGGCAACAAAGGAGTGGCTCAAGAAGAAGCACATTAAGGTCCTGGAGTGGCTTAGCCAGTCTCCAGACCTTAATCCCATAGAACATCTGTGGAGGGAGCTGAAGGTTCGAGTTGCCAAACGTCAGCCTCGAAACCTTAATGACTTGGAGAAGATCTGCAAAGAGAAGTGGGACAAAATCCCTCCTGAGATGTGTGCAAACCTGGTGGCCAACTACAAGAAACGTCTGACCTCTGTGATTGCCAACAAGGGTTTTGCCACCAAGTACTAAGTCATGTTTTGCAGAGGGGTCAAATACTTATTTCCTTCATTAAAATGCAAATCAATTCATAACATTTTTGACATGCGTTTTTCTGGATTTTGTTGTTGTTATTCTGTGTCTCGCTGTTCAAATAAACCTACCATTAAAATTATAGACTGATCATGTCTTTGTCAATGGGCAAACGTACAAAATCAGCAGGGGCTCAAATACTTTTTTCCCCTCACTGTATGAATCCTATAAATGAAAATGGACAATTTGGCGATTAAAATTATATTTCAACAAAATAATGTTGCAGGAATGCTAATCTTATCTGTTTCTAACAACAGAAAGGATTTCAGAACAATCTGAGATGGTGTGTGTGTCGATATCCTCTTTCTTGGGCTTTTTGAGACGGAACGACCCTATAAGGTGGTGTGAAACCGGACCGAACTGGTTTCTTTACAGGAAGCGTAATCACTTTAACCTTTGTGTGTGTGTGTTGATTGGAAGCAGCTGTCTCTCACACATTACAGGACATTAGAGGCTAACGGCATGGCAACGGGGCTAATAACCTCAGCCCAGAGAGTATATAGAATAGCTTTACACAGTAGTAAATCATAGATAACACTGACACAGAGAGCACATGGACACACACACACACACACTTGAACACACAATGTATGTTGAAGACACACACGCTGTACGGCGATGTGCGCAAGCGCACACATACACACACATTGTGAGCACACAGACACACACACACACAGAAACCGACAGGCCGAATCTCTTAAACCCACAACGCCAATCTCCCCAAACCCCAGGCAGTCAGATGATCATGTTGCAATATGAGAAACCACATCACATGGTTTCTATGACTTATATTATGACTAAAATATGTATGCTGTGTGTGTTCTTCTGGAGTTGTGTGGGGGGAGGAGAGGAAGAGGGAGAGAGAGAGAGTTGAAAGAGGAATCAAATGGTCAGCCTTGTGCTGATGAAGGAACACACACTGATGAGTAACAGTCGTCACGCAGCAAAGCACTGCACAACACTCTCGTGATGCTGACAATAACTAATGCAGCCCCATCATGTGACACACGCAATGCTGTGCAGGCATCTTAGGAGACATCTCCCCATAGCACTGATGACGTGAGGCAGGGATGGTGTGTGTGGAACAGGGAGTTCTTTCTTAGAGTGGATTTCATGGGACAGTTACCCAGCTCTAATCTGGAACTGGACTCCAACAATCATAAGTCCCAGTGAGAGCTGCCACTGTGGTGTCTAGCTCTACTATTTCATCATAACAAAGTCCCAGTGAGAGCTGCCACTGTGGTGTCTAGCTCTACTATTTCATCATAACAAAGTCCCAGTGAGAGCTGCCACTGTGGTGTCTAGCTCTACTATTTCATCATAACAAAGTCCCAGTGAGAGCTGCCACTGTGGTGTCTAGCTCTACTATTTCATCATAACAAAGTCCCAGTGAGAGCTGCCACTGTGGTGTCTAGCTCTACTATTTCATCATAACAAAGTCCCAGTGAGAGCTGCCGCTGTGGTGTCTAGCTCTACTATTTCATCATAACAAAGTCCCAGTGAGAGCTGCCACTGTGGTGTCTAGCTCTACTATTTCATCATAACAAAGTCCCAGTGAGAGCTGCCACTGTGGTGTCTAGCTCTACTATTTCATCATAACAAAGTCCCAGTGAGAGCTGCCACTGTGGTGTCTAGCTCTACTATTTCATCATAACAAAGTCCCAGTGAGAGCTGCCACTGTGGTGTCTAGCTCTACTATTTCATCATAACAAAGTCCCAGTGAGAGCTGCCACTGTGGTGTCTAGCTCTACTATTTCATCATAACAAAGTCCCAGTGAGAGCTGCCACTGTGGTGTCTAGCTCTACTATTTCATCATAACAAAGTCCCAGTGAGAGCTGCCACTGTGGTGTCTAGCTCTACTATTTCATCATAACAAAGTCCCAGTGAGAGCTGCCACTGTGGTGTCTAGCTCTACTATTTCATCATAACAAAGTCCCAGTGAGAGCTGCCACTGGGTGTCTAGCTCTACGATTTCCCTCCATAATGGTTTCTCAGAGAGCTTACTTTACTTGGGCGTTTGTGAGGAGACCGGAGGGCAGAGCCTGAGTCACAGTATCTGTTAGAATGATTCTCACTCTGCCCCTCTGTTCTGTCCTCATTAAATATTTTGTTATGCACTGATTCAAACTGTAGATCATCATCATCGTCATCTGAGCTCTAGCACCATGTATGGAGCTTTTAGAAGGACTGTTTTCTTCCAGACTGAGTCAGAGCTAGTACGGTGTGTGTTTCTAACAGGCGAGACAGAGGTTAATGAAGTTATCAAAAAGAAAGGAGGACCAAGGCACTCTTCATATAATTAATTAAAATGCCTTTTATAATTATATGAAGAGTGCCTTGGTCCTCCTTTCTATTTGATGACTAATTCACCCCTTTGACCAAAGAGCACCTTCTGTCTACCAACATTTACTATTGTGTACCTTTAGTAGCGCTTCCCTTCCTCCTCTTTCTACTAGAGGTTAATGAAGACTGAGATCAGTGGGAGATTCTGAGCTGTCAATCAACACACACACACACACACACACACACACACACACACACACACACAGCGGTTAGCTGTCACTCAGTGTCAGATAGCTCTACGTAAAAGTTGCCCTTAGGCACAGGTCTAAGATCAGCTTACTTACATACCTTCCTTAACTTCCATTAGGAAGAAAAATACGAACTGACCTTAAATCAGTGTGTAAGTGTGACTTCATTCTACTCATGGGCTAAACAGTGTCCTGAAAAACCCCCAGAACTCACTGAGCTATTATCACTTTGTTCCCACAGAGGTATTTCAGGAACGGACTGAAGTAATATATGGGTTGCCTTGGGTAAGAACACACTGTCTTACTAATACTGAACAGAAGAGAACAGGACAGGACAGAACAGAAGACGGGAACAGAACAGAAGAGAGGGTAACAAAAAAGAGAGGGGAACAGAACAGGACAGAGGAGAACAGGACAGAGGAGAACAGGACAGAAGACAGAACAGGACAGAAGACAGAACAGGACAGAAGACTAGGGGGCGACAGAAGACTAGGGGGCGACAGAAGACTAGGGGGCGACAGAAGACTAGGGCGACAGAAGACTAGGGCGACAGAAGACTAGGGCGACAGAAGACTAGGGCGACAGAAGACTAGGGCGACAGAAGACTAGGGCGACAGAAGACTGAACAGGACAGAAGACAGAACAGGACAGAAGACAGGGCGACAGAAGACAGGGCGACAGAAGACAGGGCGACAGAAGACTAGGGCGACAGAAGACTAGGGCGACAGAAGACTAGGGCGACAGAAGACTAGGGCGACAGAAGACTAGGGCGACAGAAGACTAGGGGGCGACAGAAGACTAGGGCGACAGAAGACTAGGGCGACAGAAGACTAGGGCGACAGAAGACAGAACACGACAGAAGACAGAACACGACAGAAGACAGAACAGGACAGAAGACAGAACAGGACAGAAGACAGGGCGACAGAAGACTAGGGCGACAGAAGACTAGGGCGACAGAAGACTAGGGCGACAGAAGACTAGGGCGACAGAAGACTAGGGCGACAGAAGACTAGGGCGACAGAAGACTAGGGCGACAGAAGACAGAAGACAGAAGACAGGGCGACAGAAGACTAGGGCGACAGAAGACAGGGGAACAGAACAGTGTGTTTCTCTGTTGAGCTGTTCTAGTATAGTTCAGTTGGTACTGGCAGAACATCAGGTGTGTATAAACCTTCAGTACCTACTCCCCTGAGAGAGAGAGAGAACTTAAGCCAGGCAGTGTTGGTATATTGTAAATGTCTTCATGGCTGGTTTGCATCAGTGCCTGGGGAGGAGCCATCGTTAGGACCAATAAGGCCTGTATTGTCCCCTTCGGCCCCCTCACTCCAGCCGCCTTCCTGCTGAATGGTTAATCATCTGGAAGTTTGGAGCAAAGTATCAATTACTGACTTACTCTGGTCCCAGATCTGTCTTAGCCTGGTCCCAGTTACTCTCTGTTTTCATCCCTTCTCAGGAATGCGTAATGCCACTTGTGTTACTACGCGCCTTTGCGTACTTGACCGATCTTCTCATCTAACCTTACACATGACATGTTGCTTGTCAACTACTATCAGGGATGTCCAAAAAGCAACAGACATTAAGCAGATCCTTTGGCGTTTCGCCACCTACAAAGAAACGCCAACTGGAGCCAGAGCCGAAGAAAATACTTTTTTCGGAAAAGTGGCTTGAAGCTAACGATGAGCGCACTGAAATGTGGTGCAAGATTTGCCGCTCAAATCCACATCTAGCAGACAAAACAGGTGCATTTTATAAAGGCTCAAAGAATTTCAACCATCCTTTATTTGACAAACATGAAAAGAGCAAGGAGCACACGAATGTGGCGCAAGCCATTGCTAAAAGCTAGCCGAGAATAAATGTCCAGTCGCCGAGACAAGCTGAATGAAGAACAGCGGCAAGCTCTGTTTAATATTTTTCTCTTTCCATAAAGCTAAACACGCACGTCCCATGTCTTCCTATTCTGAGGATGTTCCTTTACTGAATGCTTTTTGATGGATCTGAGGACATCACAAAAACTGAGCAGGAAATAGTTTACATTGTGTCTGTGTCCAGCAACGGAGAGTTTACTTCGGACTTTATTGGACTGATTGAATTGGGTGCTGACCGAACCGCACAGGCCATAACAGACGGACTTGTGAGACTTTTGGTAAGTTTCATAATACCAGATGGTCTGCATGGAGTCATGAAACACTGTTAAAAATATCAAGACTATTGCCAGCCATTAAAATGCAACTGGTTACCAGGTATTTATTTCAGTCACACTGGTTGAATTTTTGGCTAAAAGGTTACTGAATCGATTTCAAGTCACTGAATCGTTTCGGATCGTATCGTTCTAAATGAACCAATATCGTCCTTGAATCGTATCGACAACCACGAATCGTGATACAAATCGAATCGTTGTTAAAACGAATCGTTACACCCCTACTTCTAACAGAAGAGATGAAGAGGTTTATGTAAATGTGAAAATGCTAATAGAGGAGCTACAGAGATCATGGTACTGTTGTGGTCTGAATTTACATTTACATTTTAGTCATTTAGCAGACGCTCTTATCCAGAGCGACTTACATGAGCAATTAGGGTTAAGTGCCTTGCTCAAGGGCACATCGGCAGATTTTTCACCTAGTCGGCTCGGGGATTAGAACCAGCGACCTTTCGGTTACTGGCACAACGCTCTTAACCACTAAGCTACCTGCCGCTTCATTTAACATGTTGTCTACTGAGAATGTTGGTTTGGCCAGTTCACTGGGTCAGGACCCTATTGGCCAGTTCACTGGGTCAGGATCTTATTGGCCATTTCACTGGGTCAGGACCTTATTGGCCATTTCACTGGGTCAGGACCTTATTGGCCATTTCACTGGGTCAGGACCCTATTGGCCAGTTCACTGGGTCAGGACCTTATTGGCCAGTTCACTGGGTCAGGACCTTATTGGCCAGTTCACTGGGTCAGGACCCTATTGGCCAGTTCACTGGGTCAGGACCCTATTGGCCAGTTCACTGGGTCAGGACCCTATTGGCCTTCTGGGTCAGGCCTATTGGCCAGTTGTCAGACTAGATCATGGGTCAGGACCCTATTGGCCAGTTCACTGGGTCAGGACCTTATTGGCCAGTTCACTGGGTCAGGACCCTATTGGCCAGTTCACTGGGTCAGGACCTATTGGCCAGTTCACTGGGTCAGGACCTATTGGCCAGTTCACTGGGTCAGGACCTTATTGGCCAGTTCACTGGGTCAGGACCCTATTGGCCAGTTCACTGGGTCAGGACCTATTGGCCAGTTCACTGGGTCAGGACCCTATTGGCCAGTTCACTGGGTCAGAAGGACTGTGTCGGAAAGGGTTCCTTTTAGGGTCAATCCAAACGTGTTTGGTTAGGTCTCACAACAACCCAGCCAAAAGGTTTGGGGAAAAGTTTGTGAATCACTGTGTGAGGGTTTTTACCAAGAAGAGTTTCTCTGCTCCCGTGCCGAGGGCGTACCCATAATGCAACAGGACACCTTTGTTACCTTGGCACACACCACCTCTCCTCCTCTCCTCTCAACCTCTCCTCGAATCCTTTTGAAGCCTATTTGACTTCCGCCATCAACTACCCAAAAACTGTAGGCAGGGATGAAAGGATGAGGGAGGAGAGGAGAGGAGAGGAGAGGAGCTTGCCCGCGAAGTGAATGCTGCATACGCTTCTTTCTTTTGAACAAAAAAAAAGTGTTATTTTATCGTCTGTGTCAAATTCAGTGATCCACATCTCAACATCTGAGGGGAGTTAGGGGAGCGAGTGAATTGATTTTCCCTCCTTTATATTTAGTGGGAAGGATGAGGATGAATAATAATGAAGAAGTGGAAGGTAGGAACGCTTTAGTAGAACTGAATAACTTTGTGCTAAAAAAAACAACATTTTTTAGAAGGAGATGTTATTGAACGTTGTAAATCTTAATGTCTTCATGTTTATTTCATGTCTTTTTTATCAGCTGTTGAAACGTCCCCTCAGGCCTGTCTGTGAATACAAAGAGACAGGGACTAATAGAATAGAATGATTAAGATTAGGAACTAATTATATTTTCTCCTTCTCTGTATTTTTCCTCCTCTCTCTCTCCTACCCTCCTCCCTCACTCCCTCATCTCTCTCTCTCCCCCCCTTTCTCCTCGATCTCCTTCAGTCTCTCTCTCTCTCTCATACCCTCCTCCTCCCTCTTCTTCTCCCTCCTCTCTCTCTCTCTTTCTCTCTCTACCAAGTTACAAAGAGACATAAAGAGTAACATAATAATAGTTTTCTCTCCCCATCCTCCTCCCTCTCCTCCAGAGATGGTGTGGCAGTGGGTCCTGGCTGCCATCTTGGCGACGCAGTCTCTCTCCCTCCTCGGCTCCGCCCACAACGAGTTCACCTCCGACACCCTCATCAACAACGTAGTCCAGGACCCAACCACCGGTCGGCTGTACGTGGGCACGGTCAACGCCATCTACCAACTGAACCAATCCCTGTACACCGAGGCCCGCACCAAAACAGGACCCAGATTGGACAACCGCCAGTGTACCCCGCCCGTGACGGGCTCCTGCCAGGAAGCGGTGGAGACCGACAACCATAACAAACTGCTCCTCATCCATCCATCCAAAGACACCTTGATAGTGTGTGGGAGTCTGTACAGAGGAATCTGTTCTCTGAGGAGCCTGTCTAATGTAGAGCAGCTGCTGTACTTCAACGATACTAAAGGAGAGAGGACGTACGTGGCCAGTGCTGAGGAGAGTGTGTCTGTAGTAGGGGTCATGTCTTACTACGTCAGCAAGGACAATGAGAACAGTAAGAACTTCACCGTCTTCCTGGTAAGTGGACTAACCACACCGTGATATGTCACAGTAATAATAATATGTCATTTAGCAGACACTTTTATACAAAGCGACGTGTATAAATGTTCTACGTATGGGTGGTCCCAGGAATTGAACCCACTATCCTGGCGTTGCAATTGCCATGCTCTACCAACTGAGCTACAGAGGACCACAGGGTTGTTCTGGTTTTTAATCTGCTATTGTGACGTAGAGATCTATAGATGGTCTCTACCAACTGAGTTACAGAGGACCACAGGGTTTCTGTTTCTAATCAGCTATGGGGACATAGATGGTATCATATTTATCACTATTCACTGGGACTCAAATGGAACTCCACTCCACTGAATGTCCTGCAACCTTGTTGTGATGTTTTTGATGTTATATGGGGATTTAAAATGGTAAAGGTACTAGATAAGTGAATTTCACATGTTCTGTTCCCTCTGTCTTGTCCTAGGTGTGTAAAGGTTATGGCAGCCACGACTGCACCAAGCTGAAACATGTTGTATTTACTTCCTGGTCACCATGGTATCTGGTATTTGCCCCCTCTCTGTTCTCTTCAGGTGGCTAAGGGCTACGGCAGCCATGACAGCACCAAGCTGATCAGCACCCGTATCCTCCAGGACCATGGTGACTGGGTGTTGTTCGACAGTATCATCGAGGCCTCGGCCGTCCAGTCCAACCCCTTCACACTGCGTTACCTCCACGACTTCAAACACGTCTTCAAGGTAAGAAAGACGGAGAAAAGCCTTTTGCACACACAGCAGTGTGAAACGTCCCCTTGGGCCGGTCTGTGATTACAGCGTTACCAAGAGACTGAAAGGGGAATAGAATGATTCATCTCACTCTTTTTCCGCTCCTTTTTTTTCACTTTCTCTCTCTCTCTTTTTATGTCTTCTCTTCTTCCAGGATGAATGGCTTTGTCTACTTCCTGTTCTCCAGAACCCTGGGCGCCCAGGATTCAGGAACCAAGAACTTCACCTTTATCTCCAGGATGTGTGAGAACGACCACAACTACTACTCGTACACAGAGCTCCAGCTGAACTGCAGCGCGGGGAACAGGTACAACAAGGTCCAGGCAGCCTACGTGTCCCTTCCAGGAGAAGCCCTGGCCAAAAATATGAGCTCCTCTGGCCAGTACGGACCGGTTGGAGCCCTGGATAAGGTATGTATTTCAACTTAATCCGCTATCCAGTTCAATTCTATAGCCCAATTAAATTGTATAACCCCTAATAGAATTGTTCGAAGGGGACAAATAGAGTTGTTTGAATTAGATTGAATCCCACAAAAATGTGTTTGGACAGATGAAGCGGGTATTTTCTTTAGGAAAATGACTTTTTGTAGTTTTCCATTTCACCATTATTTAACCAGGCAAGTCCGAACCATCAGAACAGTCTGTTAAGAACAGTGACTTCTGTATTGCTGTCAGGTTCTGTTTGTGGTGTTCAGCTCGGACGATGACAGCTCCACCTCGGCAGTGTGTATGTACCCACTGAGGGCCATCAACAAGAGACTGGTGGAGATCATAGGAGCCTGCTACAGCAACAAGGGACACATTAACGGGACGTCTGCCGTCTACTCACCGTACTCCTCCAAGTCAGATGAGCTGTGTAAAACTGAAAAGGAGGTTTGTAGCCTTACCAGCACATCCAGTCAAGGGCAGTTGTACTGTATGTCCTCTGGTAAGAGGATGGAGAATGTATCTGGTGTTAGCTAGCAGGTCAGTTTTGAAGCAATTGATGGTTTTCTAGTTTACATTGAAGTTATGGTTGTTGCTCTTCTACAATTAACTTTACAAGAGGATGTAGATATGATCTAATAACTGTTACATTATCACATCTACCTACTAATGAAATAATGTATCTGACGTTGATTCCTCCCCTCTACAGAATGGCATGGTGATCTCCCAAAAGTGTGGTGCTGAGTTCCTGCCCTCCCCACTTGCCAGTAGGGCAGAGTTCGCCCTGGCAACCAAACCCATCTTCACCAAGAAGGGCCTGATGACCGCTGTGGCCGTCGCTGTGGAAACGGAGCACACCGTTGCCTTCCTGGGGACTGCTTTAGGAGAGGTACTAGCTAATAGTGATGGGCATTCCCAGTCTTTTCGGTGAGCCAGATCTTTTGGCTCCCAATGGATCTTTGTTCAGTAGTCCTTACAAATGGATGAAAAACCATGACAAATATAAAAAGGTCTCATGTAAAGGCTGAAGGGTTGCCTACCATTATGTCAGATTGTGACGCGAGTTCAATTAAATTGTTTACCTGGCCAAATTAAATCCCTTGAAATGTATGTAATTTTTGTGTGGACCACAATGAGGTTTTCTTCAGAGAATGTTTTTTTTAAACTGAACTCCAGATGATGGGTTAGGAGGTGCAATCTTCAGAGATGTTTTTCTACTGAACTCAGATATGGTTGAGAGGTGCAATCTTCAGAGAATGTTTTTCTAACTGAACTCCATGATGGTTAGGAGTTCATCTTCGAGAATGTTTTTCTACAACTGAACTCCAGATGATGGTTGGGGAGTGCAATCTCAGAGAATGTTTTTCTAACTGAACTCATGATGGTTGAGGAGGTCAATCTCAGAGTGTTTTTCTAACTGAACTCAGATGATGGTTGAGGAGTGCATCTTCAGAGATGTGTTTCTCACGAACAGATGATGGTTGAGGGGTGCCATCTTCAAGAATGTTTTTCTAACTGAACTCAGATGATGTTGCGAGGTGCAATCTCAATAATGTTTTCTACTGAACTCCAGATGATGTTGAGGAGTGCAATCTTCAAAGAATGTTTTTCTAACGGAACTCCATGATGGTTGAGGAGGTGCAATCTTCAGAGAAGGTTTTCTAACTGAACTCAGATGATGGTTGAGGAGGTGCAATCTTCAGAAGTTTTTCTAACTGAACTCCAGATGATGGTTGAGGAGGTGCATCTTCAGAGATGTTTTTCTAATGACTCAGATGGTGAGGAGGTGCTCTTCAAGGAATGTTTTTCTAACTGAACTCAAATATGGTTGAGGAGGTGCATCTTCAGAGATGTTTTTCTACTGAACCTCCAGATGATGGTTGAGGAGGTTGCAACTTCAGAGAATGTTTTCTACTGAACTCCAAATGTTGAGGAGTGCAATCTTCAGAGTAATGTTTTTCTAACTGACCTCCAGATGAGGTTGAGGAGGTGCATCTTCAGAGAATGTTTTTTTTAAACTGAACTCCAGATGATGGTTGAGGAGGTGCAATCTTCAGAGAATGTTTTTCTAACTGAACTCCAGATGATGGTTGAGGAGGTGCAATCTTCAGAGAATGTTTTTCTAACTGAACTCCAGATGATGGTTGAGGAGGTGCAATCTTCAGAGAATGTTTTTCTAACTGAACTCCAGATGATGGTTGAGGAGGTGCCATCTTCAGAGAATGTTTTTCTAACTGAACTCCAGATGATGGTTGAGGAGGTGCATCTTCAGAGAATGTTTTTCTAACTGAACTCCAGATGATGGTTGAGGAGGTGCCATCTTCAGAGAATGTTTTTCTAACTGAACTCCAGATGATGGTGGTCTGGAGCTCAAACTGCAGCAGTAGCAGGGAGCCAAATGAACAGCTCAGTTCTCGACGTTCACCAAAAAGAGCCGTTGGTTGGCGGACGACCCGTCACTACTAGTTAACACCTTACTATTGCAATACGGTCATTCTTACACTAACACTCACACTTGTCTTTCTTACTAGCACTCTAACTGATTTAGCTAATAGCTGCTTTTTTGAAGAAAGTTTTACTTGAGGAAAGCAATGACTGTGATATGTGGTTGGTCTTACCTATAAGAGCGTCTGCTAAACAGAAAGGCGTCCTGCTGAAATGTTATTCAATAGGCTGCTCGGACTTATATAGATTGTCCTTAGTAGTTGACTAATGTCTTCTGCGTCGACCTGGCCACCTTTTCTGTCTTCTTTCTGCTAATGAAACGCAGGTGCTGAAGCTGCACCTGTCGGCCAGTCCAGAGGTGTACGGCCGCGCCCCGGGGGAGAACACCGGTGACAAGGTCAACAAGAACCTGCTGTTTGACACCAGCCTCACACACCTCTACATCACCACAGAGAAGAAGGTGAGCCGTGAACATATCTAGAACTTTATTCGATAGTGTAGATTTTTATCGGTGTGAGGCACTCCATGCATTTTGGTTAGTGCGATATCAATGTTTGAATCACCCATGATTGTTTTTCTCATAGATCACCAAGGTGCCAGTGCAGGCGTGCCACCTGAAGTCAGACTGCCAGTCCTGCGTGTCACAGAAAGACCCCTACTGTGGGTGGTGTGTGCTGAAGGGCAGGTGAGTACAGTACCAGTTATGCTATAGCCAATGTTCCCTCTAAGCTGCCGCGCAGAAGAAATATCAGCCCGCGCAGAGAAGCACGAGATTGAATTTCATTCCATTTTCTAGAGTTTTCCCCTTAGTTAACCACTATCAGTTTTTCCCTTTACTGTGGGAATTGTGATTGAATCAACGCTTTCAATGCAACATACAGAAACAAAATGAACTATGCAAGAGATTTTGTTGTAGGCAGAACACATTGGAGTAGGATTCTATTGCGTTGACAGGCACTACTCAGCCCCTACTCTACACAGACCAGTGCGCCATAACCAATCAGAGCTGCATGTAGCCACTTGTGCACATTTTGTTCATATCCTTTCCTAGTTAGTGAGTTATTAGCCCAGTTATAGATCATTTGTAGTCAGCAATAGGGGAGTGATTGCTTCCTACAAGAGTACAAAACGTATACATTTCTAGACATCTTTGAAAAGCAAGTCAGGTAAAGATAGGTTTTTGTCTTAAAGGGGCAGTGTTGTATTTTGTGACAGGCTTGAATAAGTTAAGTTGACAATAGGCAGAGGGTAGCATAATTTGTCTGATTCTCTGTAATAATGGTATGGGAATAATAATGCATTATATTTTGTAAAGTGGTTTCTTGCATCAAACAACACAACAACGTTTTCAGTCACCTCCTTGTCTGAAGGAAAAGTGGATAAACAGGTTAATGTTCAAAAGTCTCATGGAATGTAGGCCTACATTGAACACCCCACATTGGCTGCTACTGTAGGCTGAATGATAGAACAGCTATTTGCTCAGTGCCCAACAAATTTGAGGGAACATTGGTTATAGCTGCAATATTTCCTGCTGTTCATTGATCTTTCAATGAATAATAAAATATAACTTATAAATGTCTTATGAGCTTAGTACTGCCTTCTCCTATTATAGATGGTCCAGGACTATTTTCTCTCTTTAGCTCCTATCATTTATGAACCGGGCATGGATACAGGTAGCAGACTCCTGGTTAGCTGTAGTCTAGGGTTAGGGTTAGCTGTAGTCCAGGGTTAGGGTTAGCTGTAGTCCAGGGTTAGGTGTAGTCCAGGGTAAGGGTTAGCTGTAGTCCAGGGTTAGGGTTAGCTGTAGTCCAGTGTTAGGTGTAGTCCAGGGTAAGGGTTAGCTGTAGTCCAGGGTTAGGTGTAGTCCAGGGTAAGGGTTAGCTGTAGTCCAGGGTTAGCTGTAGTCTAGGGTTAGCTGTAGTCCAGGGTAAGGGTTAGCTGTAGTTCCGGGTTAGCTGTAGTCTAGGGTTAGCTGTAGTCCAGGGTTAGGGTTAGCTGTAGTCCAGGGTTAGGTGTAGTCCAGGGTAAGGGTTAGCTGTAGTCTAGTGTTAGGGTTAGGTGTAGTCCAGGGTAAGGGTTAGCTGTAGTCTAGTGTTAGGGTTAGCTGTAGTCTAGGGTTAGCTGTAGTCCAGGGTTAGGGTTAGCTGTAGTCCAGGGTTAGCTGTAGTCCAGGGTTAGCTGTAGTCTAGGGTTAGCTGTAGTCTAGGGTTAGCTGTAGTCTAGTGTTAGGGTTAGCTGTAGTCTAGGGTTAGGGTTAGCTGTAGTCTAGGGTTAGGGTTAGCTGTAGTCCAGGGTTAGGGTTAGCTGTAGTCCAGGGTTAGGTGTAGTCCAGGGTAAGGGTTAGCTGTAGTCTAGGGTTAGGGTTAGCTGTAGTCTAGGGTTAGCTGTAGTCCAGGGTTAGGGTTAGCTGTAGTCCAGGGTTAGCTGTAGTCTAGGGTTAGCTGTAGTCTAGGGTTAGCTGTAGTCTAGTGTTAGGGTTAGCTGTAGTCTAGGGTTAGGGTTAGCTGTAGTCTAGGGTTAGGGTTAGCTGTAGTCTAGGGTTAGGGTTAGCTGTAGTCTAGGGTTAGGGTTAGCTGTAGTCTAGGGTTAGGGTTAGCTGTAGTCTAGTGTTAGGGTTAGCTGTAGTCTAGTGTTAGGGTTAGCTGTAGTCTAGTGTTAGGGTTAGCTGTAGTCTAGTGTTAGGGTTAGCTGTAGTCTCGTGTTAGGGTTAGCTGTAGTCTAGTGTTAGCTGTAGTTCAGGGTTAGGGTTAGCTGTAGTCTAGGGTTAGCTGTAGTCTAGGGTTAGGGTTAGCTGTAGTCCAGGGTTAGCTGTAGTCCAGGGTTAGCTGTAGTCCAGGGTTAGGGTTAGCTGTAGTCCAGGGTTAGCTGTAGTCCAGGGTTAGGGTTAGCTGTAGTCTAGGGGTAGCTGTAGTCTAGGGTTAGCTGTAGTCCAGGGTTAGCTGTAGTCCAGGGTTAGCTGTAGTCTAGGGTTAGGGTTAGCTGTAGTCCAGGGTGTGACTGGTCTGTTCTCCTCCAGGTGTACCAGGAAGGGAGACTGTCCCGGGGTTGATGACAACAGGTGGCTGTGGAGCCCCAACCAGCAGTGTGTTCAGATCCAGGCCTTTAGCCCACCCAACCTCAGCTGTATGAAGACCCAGCAGGTACTGAGTCTGAGTGGTTGAGTTTCCCTGTCATTGGCAGCTGTCCTCTCCAGTGTGAAAGTAGCCTCATCTGTTGTGCTGGGTTTGCTTCATTCGGAATTCATTCGTTCTGAGTTTAACTCTAGTCAATTCCACTAAGCTCTGCTCCCTTCCAGTGCATTTCACACACACACACACACACACACACACACACACACACACACACACACACACACACACACTCTAAAATTAGCTTTCTTGGGCAGTTCTGGATTAATGAACTGTGTACATTTAAACTGCACACCTGAATATCAGTCACTTCCCTTTGTTTCACCCCATTTCATCTGTTCTCTCCAGCAACTTGAGTTTTTGTCACATAACCACTCCTGTGAATCAAAAAAAATAATGGCATTGAGATGATTTCCTCAATGGACCTCTTTGTATTCAAGAGGGAGTTTATCTTGTTTCTCTGTCTCTCTCTCTCCCTCCCTCCCTCTCTTCCACTCTCAAAAACCTCTCTGTTTATCTCCTGTCCAGGTTGAAATCGACATCCCCACCCTCCCCAGGATCAGCCGTTCTGACGTTATAGAGTGCAGGTTTGGTTTGTTCAGTAGTGGAGCTGTGGTGATTGATCAGAAGGTCACCTGTACTCTCCCTGACCCTGTGGACATCCCCCCTACACCTGACAAGCAGGGTGAGTCCTCCTGAATACTAGTCCTCCTGAATACTAGTCCTCCTGAATACTAGTCCTAACCCCAGTCCTTAGGTCCTTGGGTAGTAGATGGGTACTGTATACTGTTTTTAAGCCTGGATATCAGTCTGTTTCTTTTTTAACCAACTTGTCTTTATCTTGCCAAAACAAGGCAACAATGTAGTGTTTTTATTCAATACAGAATCAGTCAGGTGACCAGGCTAACATTTCCTCTCAGGGTAATGGACTGTTTTGTGGGAACTGTGATATTCTGTGATATTCTGTTCAGACTTTGTGACGGTGCCAGTGAGGATCCTGGTCAACGATAGCATCGAGGTGACGTCCAGTGAATACAAGTTCTACAACTGTGCAGCCACTGTCAGGAAGTCCGAGAACACACCGTAAGTGGCGCCAGTTGAACCCTTTATGGTCATCAACCTTTTCTGAGGCAAGATCACTTTTGGAGTCAAAAAGCAAGCTGAGATCTACCACTCAGATTTTTTTTTAAACATGGCCTGTCAATATTTTTCTTCTCAGACCATATTATGTTTCAAAACTGGAGCTTTGATAACAAAATAGATCAGTTGTATCATTTGCGAGGCACAGCTGAGCATAAATTGAAATTATACTATTTAAATTATATTATTTAATTTTACTGGAGTTGATGGTACCTACATATGATGGTCAGTCTCAGCGGAGGGAGAGCGCAGCAGAGGGTCCTCCTCTCATGGTCCCTGCTCTCTCCTTTTCTCCGGTAAGACTGACCAGAGAGAGGGGACACCATCTTCCACCTGATGGCGAAACCCGAGTCGCACCACATTATTTCTGCCTCATTCACAAATTCAGCTATCCGATTGACCCGCACAGTAGGCACACAGTTTGTCCCTTCAGACAAATGAAATGGTTCAAAATGGGAACACTTTGCCTACCCGGCGCCCAGCACGTCTGAATCAAGTGCAAGACTAATAAAATAAGTGGAGTGCAAGGCTTTGTCGTTGGCTTTTCAGAAATGTTTGGTGATCGACCAGTAGGTGACCACTGCTTTATGGAAACAAACCGTTAATCTGACAGTTATTCTCAGTGCTCTGTTCAGTCATTTTACACTGAACACTTTTGTGGATCTCTGTGCTCATTGGCTATATAAACTCTGACTCCCTAACTCTTCCTCCTATTGGCTGATTGTCCCCAGGTGTATAGCGTGTGTGACCAGTGAGTGGCAGTGCCAGTGGAATGGCCAGGACCACACCTGCAGTGACAGCGATGACGCTGTAGAGGGAGCTCACGTCATCAAAGCCCAACAAGTAGGAGGAAGCGCTGTCTCAGTGAACTTGACATCTTGGCTCAATCTCCTTTAGTCTTTCCACAGTTCCTCGCGTCCTCTCTCCCCGCCTCCTTCTCAAGAAGAAGGTCCAATACTTTTTGATAAGAGAGGATGTGAGGAGTTGAGGGAAGATTAATTGATAAAGAGCCATTGTCTCTGAGCCATCTTGTATCTGTTACAGACTTTCTGCCTTATAGGTGGCAACTAGCAAGCTCTTCCTGTCTGTCTGCCTGTCTGATTAAACCAGCTATAACCACCTTCTGTTCTCCCTCCAGGCTGATAGCTGTCCTCAGTTTGAGAACCCAGATCCTCAGCTCATCCCTGTAGGCTACTGCATCCCCATCAGCTTCCAAGGGAAGAACCTGGACATTTACAAGGTGAGATAGACACAGCTCTTAGGCTTCGTCCCAAGTGACACCCTATTACCTATACAGTGCACTATGTAGGGAATAGGGTGCCATTTGAGTGCACTATGTAGGGAATAGGGTGCCATTTGAGTGCACTATGTAGGGAATAGGGTGCCATTTGAGTGCACTATGTAGGGAATAGGGTGACATTTCAGACACACCTCTATTTACTCAATGTCAATCATTGATGATAACATTGTCTCTCTCTCTTGTCCTGTGTGTCTGTCTCTCTCTTGTCCTGTGTGTCTGTCTCTCTCTTGTCCTGTGTGTCTGTCTCTCTCTTGTCCTGTGTGTCTGTCTCTCTCTTGTCCTGTCTGTCTTAGGATCGCACGTTTAAGATAGGCACGGAGCTCATGAAACACACAGAGGAAGAGTTCACCTTTGATGAGGGGTCAAAGTTCAACTTCAAGGGTTATGAGGTCAGTAATATCCACCTCTCTAGTTGAGAAAACACAGGTTTTAGATCACAGCGCGCCACATGAGCAGTAGAAGTTCTGTCTTTTCCCTCAGTCCCAAAGCCGGTGTTGTGAAATGCAGGATATTCACCTCAAGCCTCCAGCCAGTATTCCAACTCTTTCTCTCTCTCTCTCTCTCTCTCTCTCTCTCTCTCTCTCTCTCTCTCTCTCTCTCCCTCTCTCTCGTCTCCTCGCCCTCTCTCCCTCTCTACTCTCTCTCTCTCTCCTCTTCTCCTCTCTCCTCTCCTCCGCATCTCTCTTCATCTCTCCTCTCCTTCTCTCTCTCTCTCTCTCTCCTCTCTCGTCTCTCCTCTCTCTCTCTCTATCACTCTTCTCTTCCCCCCTTCTCTCTCAGCGCTCTGCCGCAGTCTTCACTCGTCTCACCTCGCCTCCCTCCCTCTTGCCTCTCCGGCTCTCCAGTCCTCCTCTCTTCCTCCTCTCTCTCTCTCTCTCTCTCTCTCTCTCTACTGATCTGTTTTCATACTGAGTTTGAGAGGCTGCCAATATGGAGTTAAAGTATATTGAGCTGCGAACCACAGCACTGCTACCCACTGTGGGGGGAAGTCATTGGGTTTAATAAAAAACACATCAGATGGGGAGTCTATTTTGGGAGAGAAAAAACCCAAAGTTCCCCAGAAAAATTCCCTAGCTTGTTGTGTGTGTGCATGCGTGCATGTCAGCGCTTCCGTTAGGAAAATGTGGTGTAGGACATTTGACAGGAAGCATTAGAATTTAAGCCTTTTGAGAAATTTACCGGACCCATATGCGTAACCTGATTAGGGTGCTTAGAATGACAGAAATCACATTTTGATTATGGTAATTCATCTTAACAGAATATGCAACTCAAGGATGCAACGATGTGCAGTTTGAAGATGTTAGAATAACTGTCCACATTTACTTTTCTTCAGCCAACAAGACGAGTAACGAACAGCAAAATCACTAGCCTATGTCAATCTAATATCCCCCATAGTAGAAAAGTTGTCCTTGTGGTTCTGTGCAAGAAAGAAATAGCCTATTCCAAACAGACTCTGGGACAGTTGAGGGACGATGGATCCCAAATTCATACAACCACTAGGCTACGTCATTATTATTTATTTATTTATTTTTAAGAAATGAGTCTGATGCAACAGATCAGAACGTTTAGCTTCCCGTTAGAAGCACAGCAATGCTCACATGGCAGTAGGCTACGTGCGGTTATTAGTTCAATAATGCAATTAGCAGTAAAACACTGTTCTTCTCCCGGACAATTGTCCGGCGCCAGTTTTATTTATCGCTTTTCCTTTATTTATTTTATTTTTTAAGCCAGCGATAACCAGCTAACAGAAACCCTGGTGTGTGTGTGTGAGTCTCTGTGAGTGCGAGAAAGAGAGGGTTTTGCCATGTCTCTGGCCCTCAGATGTCAGTTTTCTCTGTTGTGTATATCCTGTGTGTTAGTTTGCCTACGACAAGGAGCAGGAGGTCAATGTGTCCTTCCACATCAAAGACAGAGACACAGAGAAGAAGATTGACAGCACTCTGACTGGTGAGTCAGGTCCTCTAACACACACTGGAGTTGATTCAGCACTGTTGTTCAATGCTGTGTTCAAACAACTATGTCAGTGTCTGAATACAACCAGGATTATTCCGCAGGAACTGTTAATCCATTTGAACTCTTTCACCTTAATGGACCTGCTTTGGATAACCGGAGTATCAGACATATTTATTATTCATTCATTATTATTATTTATACATTTTTTGGACAAAGGTCAAGCTTATTTGTATAAGATGTGAACCCTGTACAGACTGGTGGGTTATTGGTATTAAGTTGATGTTTGTTCTCTTTCCCCTCCTCACCTCCTCCCCCCTCTGCTTCTCTCACCTCCCCTCTCCCCCTCCTCAACCTCCTCCCCCCTCTGCTTCTCTCACCTCCCAACCTCCCCCCCTGCTCTCTCAACCCCCCCCCCCCCTCAACCCCCCCTGCTTCTTCTCTCACCTCCCCTCCCCACCCTCACCTCCCCCCCTCTGCTTCTCTCCCCTCCCCAACCTCCCCCCCTCGCTTCTCTCACCTCCCCTCTCCCCCTCCTCCCCTCCTCAACCTCCTCCCCCTCTGCTTCTCTCACCTCCCCTCTCCCCCTCCTCAACCTCCCCCCTCTGCTTCTCTCACCTCCCTCTCCCCTCCTCCTCCCCTCCTCGCCTCTCACCTCCAACCTCCCCCCCTCTGCTTCTCTCACCTCCCCCTCCCCTCCTCCCCTCCTCACCTCCTCCCCCCTCTGCTTCTCTCACTTCTCTCTCACCCCCCCCCTCCCTCCTCAACCTCCTCCCCCCTCTGCTTCTCTCACCTCCCCTCTCTCCTCCTCCCCCCCTCTGCTCTCTCACCTCCCCCTCCTCCCCCCTCTGCTTCTCTCACCTCCCCTTCCACTCTCCTCAACCTCCTCCCCCCTCTGCTTCTCTCACCTCCCCTCCCCTCTCCTCAACCCCCCCCCCTCTGCTTCTCTCACCTCCCCCTCCTCCTCTCCTCAACCTCCTCCCCCCTCTGCTTCTCTCACCTCCTCTCTCCCATTCTACCTCCTCCTCCTCTCCTCTCTCCACCTCCTCCTCCTCCTCCTCCCTCCCCCTCCTCTCCATCTCTTAGTGGTGCTGTATAACTGTTCTCTGGGTCGTGAGGACTGCAGCCTGTGTAAGAACGCCGACCCCAAATACAACTGTGTGTGGTGTGCCAATATGAAGTCCTGTGTCTACAGGGAATTGTGCCAGTCCCAGGAACCAGCGCAGTGCCCCAACCCCAAGATCACTGACGTGAGAACAGTCTCTCTCTATGATCTGGTGCACTCTTCCTTCCTGTCTTCTTCTTTCCTCTAACTGTCACTGTCTTGTTTTACTCTTCTCTCACACTGCTGTCCTCCTCAACTTGCTCTCTCTTTCTCGCTCTCCCTCCCGCTCTCTTTCCTCTTTCCCCCATCTCTCTCACTCTCCTCTCTCGCTTCCCCCTCTCCCTATCTCTTTCTCCTCTCTCCCCCTTTCGTCCCCTCTTTCTCTTTCTTGCCCTCGCTCCCTCCCCCCTCTCTCTCCCTCCCCTCCCCTCTCTCTCTCTCTCTACCCCAACTCCCTATCCCTCTCCTCCTCTCTCTCCCCTCTCCTCTCCCCCTCTCTCTTTCTCCCTACTATATACACACTGAACTACTACTGTAATGACTGTTCACTACTATATACACACTGAACTACTACTGTTATGACTGTTCACTACTATATACACACTGACTACTACTGTAATGACTGTTAGCTACTATAACACACTGAACTACTACTGTAATGACTGTTCACTACTATATACACACTGAACTACTACTGTAATGACTGTTAGCTACTATATACACACTGAACTACTACTGTAATGACTGTTAGCTACTATATACACACTGAACTACTACTGTAATGACTGTTAGCTACTATATACACACTGAACTACTACTGTAATGACTGTTCACTACTATATACACACTGAACTACTACTGTAATGACTGTTAGCTACTATATACACACTGAACTACTACTGTAATGACTGTTAGCTACTATATACACACTGAACTACTACTGTAATGACTGTTAGCTACTATATACACACTGAACTACTACTGTAATGACTGTTCACTACTATATACACACTGAACTACTACTGTTATGACTGTTAGCTACTATATACACACTGATAGCAGTGACCATTTATATTCTAGTCTAATCTACCACACTCATCTAAATCATCCCTTCTCTCTCTCTCTCCTCCGTCTAATCCCCAGATCATCCCTCGTTTCGGGCCTCTGAACGGTGGGATAGCGGTGACCATTAAAGGGTCTAACTTGGGCATAAAGAAGGAAGACATTAAGAAGGTGACGGTGGCTGGAGTGGACTGTGTTCACCAGGGGGACAGATACTCTGTATCCACCAGGTATAGTACAGTGATTGTTGGGGGGCAGGGTCACATCCATGTAATCACGGCCGGCCTGCTCATTAGGCAGGATTAAGCGTCCACCTATGGCGGCAGATTGACAAGGGCAGCATTTTCTGAGCTAAACTGACCAAGACACACCAACAACAACACACAAAACCTCACATAATTCTTCCCAAAATCAGTGACAATTTCTCTCAACCAGTGGTATATGGGCTTTTTAGGTGAGCGCTGATGCCACCTTGTAATAAACAGTGTCCACTTTGTCAAAGGCAGGGTCACTAAATATTTTGCTTGTCCTTTCCCAGCACGCCTCTCCAGGGCGCTGTTGGAGAGACGCATCGCTGCAGCGCTCCACCAACGTTCAGTCAAAAAATGAATCTAACATAAATAATGTAGCTGATATAGGATATGGTAGAAAGAGTATGTGGCCTTTTCTGTAGCCTACAGGCTGGAGATAAAATGTATGACAACGTAATGAAACGGACACTTTTTACATCATGCAGGTTTCTCTGATCAAATAGTGATCAAATAGCCGAACCTACATGGAAACCAATCAAATACAAAATTAGCTGTCATGGTAACAAACAACATATCCTAAAAACAGGACAGGTCAAAGTCAAATGGACAATATGGAGTGGACAATCACAACTGTTGTCCAGGAGTTCCATCTCATTGTCATGATCAGTGGTTTCAAGTTTGTATCTGTCAATTTGATCATAGTGTAAAATAAAATACTTCTGCATTTCCCGCTGTGTAAACACCTTGCAAATAGGATCCTGATAACTCCTGATAAAGTTGGGTAGCTGATATTCAAGGCTTAAATAGCCAAATTGATTAGTCACAGTAATCAGAACTAAAAAAGACAATGTAACGGCCTGTTTTACAAACGGTGGGCCTACCATGTGGATGGGCATTCATAACATTCCATTGTGGCAGACATGATGGGCTACACCCCAGTAAGCACGAGCCGACATCTTTTAGATGTCTTTTTTTGGTCCTGTTTGGATGTCGTTTTTTTGGTGTTTTACAAACGGTAGGCTTACCACATACAGTGGGGAGAACAAGTATTTGATACACTGCCGATTTTGCAGGTTTTCCTACTTACAAAGCATGTAGAGGTCTGTAATTTCAAAAATCCAGAAAATCACATTGTATGATTTTTAAGTAATTAATTTGCATTTTATTGCATGACATAAGTATTTGATCACCTACCAACCAGTAAGAATTCCGTCTCTCACAGACCTGTTAGTTTTTCTTTAAGAAGCCCTCCTGTTCTCCACTCATTACCTGTATTAACTGCACCTGTTTGAACTCGTTACCTGTATAAAAGACACCTGTCCACACACTCAATCAAACAGACTCCAACCTCTCCACAATGGCCAAGACCAGAGAGCTGTGTAAGGACATCAGGGATAAAATTGTAGACCAGCACAAGGCTGGGATGGGTTACAGGACAATAGGCAAGCAGCTTGGTGAGAAGGCAACAACTGTTGGCGCAATTATCAGAAAATGGAAGAAGTTTAAGATGATGGTCAATCACCCTCGGTCTGGGGCTCCATGCAAGATCTCACCTCGTGGGGCATCAATGATCATGAGGAAGGTGAGGGATCAGCCCAGAACTACATGGCAGAACCTGGTCAATAACTTGAAGAGAGCTGGGACCACAGTCCCAAAGAAAACCATTAGTAACACACTACGCCGTCATGGATTAAAATCCTGCAGCGCAGGCAAGGTCCCCCTGCTCAAGCCAGCGCATGTCCAGGCCTGTCTGAAGTTTGCCAATGACCAACAGGATGATCCAGAGGAGGAATGGGAGAAGGTCATGTGGTCTGATGAGACAAAAATATAGTTTTTTGGTCTAAACTCCACTCGCCGTGTTTGGAGAAAGAAGGATGAGTACAACCCCAAGAACACCATACCAACCATGAAGCATGGAGGTGGAAACATCATTCTTTGGGGATGCTTTTCTGCAAAGGGGACAGGACAACTGCACCGTATTGAGGGGAGGATGGATGGGGCCATGTATCGCGAGATCTTGGCCAACAACCTCCTTCGCTCAGTAAGAGCATTGAAGATGGGTCGTGGCTGGGTCTTCCAGCATGACAACGACCCGAAACACACAGCCAGGGCAACTAAGGAGTGGCTCCGTAAGAAGCATCTCAAGGTCCTGGAGTGGCCTAGCCAGTCTCCAGACCTGAACCCAATAGAAAATCTTTGGAGGGAGCTGAAAGTCCGTATTGCCCAGCGACAGCCCCGAAACCTGAAGGATCTGGAGAAGGTCTGTATGGAGGAGTGGGCCAAAATCCCTGCTGCAGTGTGTGCAAACCTGGTCAAGACCTACAGGAAACGTATGATCTCTGTAATTGCAAACAAAGGTTTCTGTACCAAATATTACATTCTGCTTTTCTGATGTATCAAATACTTAAGTCATGCAATAAAATGCAAATTAATTACTTAAAAATCATACAATGTGATCTTCTGGATTTTTGTTTTAGATTCCGTCTCTCACAGTTGAAGTGTACCTATGATAAAAATTACAGACCTCTACATGCTTTGTAAGTAGGAAAACCTGCAAAATCGGCAGTGTATCAAATACTTGTTCTCCCCACTGTAGATGGGCATTCATAAAATAAAATTTCAGGCAACACTGTAGGCATCTCAGTAAGCACGGACAGACGCCATATGGACGTATTTTTTGGGTGCAGTCCGGACCGGCCTTGATTTCCACAGCCACTGACATTAATTTTTGGTCCTGTCTGGACCAAATCTAAAACAATCATAGACATCTATGTTTGGTTCAGATTTTGTCCAGTCTGGACCAGCCTTGATTTGGCCCAAACATAGATGTCTATAAATTGCGTATTTTCAACTTTAATTCAGAACCGAAAATGAACCTGATTTCAATGTCCGGAAAATACATATTTTCAATGTCTTGGAAAATATGTATTTTAAACGTCCAGAAAGTACATATTTTCACCTTTCATTCAGAACCTAATTTAAACCTAACTTCAATGTCTGGAAAATACTTATTTTAGACGTCTTCTCAACATTATTTAGCTTACTGGGACTATTCTAGGCTTGTGAAGGCCATGCCTGTAATGTACTTTTCTGTCCAGCGAATGAAGAAGAAAATAACATATTTAATTAAACACAACATTTCAATGCGCGGTATGTCTGCTTGTGTGTGTGGTGGAGAAACGGGACCTTTGTCTTACCCCAGCTGCTCTCTGTCTTCTCCAGTATTGTGTGTGAGATCGGTCCGGCCCGGCATCCTGCTCCAGTGGACCTCCCAGGTCCCATCAACCAGGGGGAAGTGGAGGTAGAGGTGGAGGGGGGCAGGAGAGGACGTTCAGAGGTCCTCTTCACCTATAGGGTAGGTTTCATACAGTTACAGTGGCATTCTTAACCCTAAACCTAACATTAATCCTAACTGTTGCAAGAGTAGGCCCCACACTGTGCAGGAGTGATTTGACGTTTCATATTGTACATTGCTCTTAGTTTGGTTAGAGCTCTGCTCAGTACTCATTCGGCCACTATGTTAGTCTTACTCTGCTGCTTTTACATCTCCACATTCATGAATGTACTTAGTTCTTAGAAGATGCTCTTAGAATTCAGAATAGCATCTGTTGAAAGGATACATAGAATTTAATGGGGGAAAAGAGTATATGGACTTAATAAAAAAATCTATTCCGGGAGCCTATTTTACTTTAGGGTAAATATTTGCACTCATTTATTTTGGGGTTCATATTTTCTTGTTTGTTTGTTTCTGCCAAAATAACAATGTCCCCATGAGAATGTACTAAGCTTGAAAAGCTATTTTGATTTAATATAGATTTGATCAAAGCTTCAGATTTTCTAGGGTACATAACATTCTTTTGTCAATATTGTCCTTCGTGTCAGCCGGGACACCGCTGCCTCTCTCACGCTCTCTCTTTCTCTCGCTCTCACTCTCACTCGCTCTCGCACTCTCACTTGCTCTTTCTCGCTCTCTCTCTGGCTGGCTGTCTGCTCCCAGTATTTTCTCATCAAACAGTACTGTTGTTCAGTAGCTGTGTTGTGATGATAAAGTACTAAGTGGTGTTCAGTAGCTGTGTTGTGATGATAAAGTACTAAGTGTTCAGTAGCTGTGTTGTGGTGATAAAGTACTAAGTGTTCAGTAGCGGTGTTGTGGTGATAAAGTACTAAGTGGTGTTCAGTAGCTGTGTTGTGGTGATAAAGTACTAAGTGTTCAGTAGCTGTGTTGGAATGATAAAGTACTAAGTGTTCAGTAGCTGTGTTGGGATGATAAAGTACTAAGTGTTCAGTAGCTGTGTTGTGGTGATAAAGTACTAAGTGGTGTTCAGTAGCAGTGTTGTGGTGATAAAGTACTAAGTGTTTATTAGCTGTGTTGTGATGATCAAGTACTAAGTGTTCAGTCGCTGTGTTTTGATGATAAAGTACTAAGTGTTCAGTAGCTGTGTTGTGGTGATACAGTACTAAGTGTTCAGTATCAGTGTTGTGGTGATACAGTACTAAGTGTTCAGTAGCAGTGTTGTGGTGATACAGTACTAAGTGTTCAGTAGCAGTGTTGTGGTGATACAGTACTAAGTGTTCAGTAGCAGTGTTGTGGTGATACAGTACTAAGTGTTCAGTAGCAGTGTTGTGGTGATACAGTACTAAGTGTTCAGTAGCGGTGTTGTGGTGATAAAGTACTAAGTGTTCAGTAGCAGTGTTGTGGTGATACAGTACTAAGTGTTCAGTAGCTGTGTTGTGATGATAAAGTACTAAGTGGTGTTCAGTAGCTGTGTTGTGATGATAAAGTACTAAGTGGTGTTCAGTAGCTGTGTTGGGATGATAAAGTACTAAGAGTTCAGTAGCTGTGTTGTGATGATAAAGTACTAAGTGGTGTTCAGTAGCTGTGTTGGGATGATAAAGTACTAAGTGTTCAGTAGCTGTGTTGTGGTGATAAAGTACTAAGTGTTCAGTAGCAGTGTTGTGATGATAAAGTACTAAGTGTTCAGTAGCAGGGTTGTGATGATAAAGTACTAAGTGTTCAGTAGCAGTATTGTGGTGATAAAGTACTAAGTGTTCAGTAGCGGTGTTGTGGTGATAAAGTACTAAGTGTTCAGTAGCGGTGTTGTGGTGATAAAGTACTAACTGTTCAGTAGCGGTGTTGTGGTGATAAAGTACTAAGTGTTCAGTAGTGGTGTTGTGGTGATAAAGTACTAAGTGTTCAGTAGCTGTGTTGTGGTGATAAAGTACTAAGTGGTGTTCAGTAGCGGTGTTGTGATGATTTTGTACTAACTGTTCAGTAGCAGTGTTGTGGTGATAAAGTACTAAGTGTTCAGTAGCAGTGTTGTGGTGATAAAGTAATAAGTGTTCAGTAGCAGTGTTGTGGTGATAAAGTACTAAGTGTTCAGTAGCAGTGTTGTGGTGATAAAGTACTAAGTGTTCAGTAGCAGTGTTGTGGTGATAAAGTAATAAGTGTTCAGTAGTGGTGTTGTGGTGATAAAGTACTAAGTGTTCAGTAGCAGTGTTGTGATTATAAAGTACTAAGTGTTCAGTAGCTGTGTTGTGATTATAAAGTACTAAGTGTTCAGTATCTGGGCTGCTGCTGTTGTGATGATAAAGCAGTGAAGGGTAATGGGGCGTGACATGAGGTGTAACTGGTGGTCCCAATGGGCTCAGTGGGTTGTTAGAGCATGGTGTTTGTGACACCAGAGTTTGTCAAGGGACACATTCAGTATATTGTACAGTATATGTACAGTGGGGGAAAAAAAGTATTTAGTCAGCCACCAATTGTGCATGTTCTCCCACTTAAAAAGATGAGAGAGGCCTGTAATTTTCATCATAGGTACACATCAACTATGACAGACAAATTTAGAAAAAAAAATCCAGAAAATCACATTGTATGATTTTTTATGAATTTAGTTGCAAATTATGGTGGAAAATAAGTATTTGGTCACCTACAAACAAGCAAGATTTCTGGCTCTCACAGACCTGTAACTTCTTCTTTAAGAGGCTCCTCTGTCCTCCACTCGTTACCTGTATTAATGGCACCTGTTTGAACTTGTTATCAGTATAAAAGACACCTGTCCACAACCTCAAACAGTCACACTCCAAACTCCACTATGGCCAAGACCAAAGAGCTGTCAAAGGACACCAGAAACAAAATTGTAGACCTGCACCAGGCTGGGAAGACTGAATCTGCAATAGGTAAGCAGCTTGGTTTGAAGAAATCAACTGTGGGAGCAATTATTAGGAAATGGAAGACATACAAGACCACTGATAATCTCCCTCGATCTGGGGCTCCATGCAAGATCTCACCCCGTGGGGTCAAAATGATCACAAGAACGGTGAGCAAAAATCCCAGAACCACACGGGGGGACCTAGTGAATGACCTGCAGAGAGCTGGGACCAAAGTAACAAAGCCTACCATCAGTAACACACTACGCCGCCAGGGACTCAAATCCTGCAGTGCCAGATGAGTCCCCCTGCTTAAGCCAGTACATGTCCAGGCCCGTCTGAAGTTTGCTAGAGTGCATTTGGATGATCCAGAAGAGGATTGGGAGAATGTCATATGGTCAGATGAAACCAAAATAGAACTTTTTGGTAAAAACTCAACTCGTCGTGTTTGGAGGACAAAGAATGCTGAGTTGCATCCAAAGAACACCATACCTACTGTGAATCATGGGGGTGGAAACATCATGCTTTGGGGCTGTTTTTCTGCAAAGGGACCAGGACGACTGATCCGTGTAAAGGAAAGAATGAATGGGGCCATGTATCGTGAGATTTTGAGTGAAAACCTCCTTCCATCAGCAAGGGCATTGAAGATGAAACGTGGCTGGGTCTTTCAGCATGACAATGATCCCAAACACACCGCCCGGGCAACGAAGGAGTGGCTTCGTAAGAAGCATTTCAAGGTCCTGGAGTGGCCTAGCCAGTCTCCAGATCTCAACCCCATAGAAAATCTTTGGAGGGAGTTGAAAGTCCGTGTTGCCCAGCGACAGCCCCAAAACATCACTGCTCTAGAGGAGATCTGCATGGAGGAATGGGCCAAAATACCAGCAACAGTGTGTGAAAACCTTGTGAAGACTTACAGAAAACGTTTGACCTGTGTCATTGCCAACAAAGGGTATATAACAAAGTATTGAGAAACTTTTGTTATTGACCAAATACTTATTTTCCACCATAATTTGCAAATAAATTCATTAAAAATCTTACAATGTGATTTTCTGGAGAAAAAAATCTCATTTTGTCTGTCATAGTTGACGTGTACCTATGATGAAAATTACAGGCCTCTCTCATCTTTTTAAGTGGGAGAACTTGCACAATTGGTGGCTGACTAAATACTTTTTTCCCCCACTGTATACATACAATGTGTTAACTGTAAAACACTTTGGATGAAAGCATCTGCTAAATAACCATACAGTATGTTATAAGGTCAGGACAGGAGTTTTTCCTTGTCAGGTCATGCAGTCAGGAAAAACCCCAGGACCTAAGTATGTTACCTTATCACTGATGTCCCATCTCTTACCCTCTCCAGGACCCCATCCCTGAGACCGTTTCCCCCCTGAAGGGCCCTAAGGCTGGGGGAACAGTCATCACTATCTCTGGGAAACACCTGAATACGGCAAACAAGGATGATGTTATTGTCACCGTGGGGGGAACGCCCTGTAAAGTGTAAGGATGCTTACACTTCAGTCTTCCAACCCCTACAGTTTGCTGTCTGTACAGGTTGCCTAAGTCATGTCGTATTCAGTTGTTCTCTCAAGGCCAACCTCTGAAATATATTAGCCATACGGTATATTGAGTTTGACTTGTTGTTCCTTTGGAACGACCTTCTCTCCCCTCAACACTACGACCCCTGTTTGACCTTTCCCATAATGCTCTCTGTCCCTGTTTCTCCCTTAGGTTGTCGTTTGGCAGTGAGATCACCTGTGAGACAGGTGTATACAAGGGCCAGAAGGTTCCATCGGAGCCCCTGATAGTCTCAGTGAGGTATGGGAAGACCACCTCCAAGGACGTCCCTGTCCCATTCCAGTACTCTGAGAACGCCAAACTCACTGACTACAACCCCAAGACCAGCTTCGTATGGTGAGGAAAGTCCAGCCACAATGTTCCAGAGAGGGTTGAAATCAAAGCACCTCTTTTTCTTTAAACGAAGCTTGGGTTGAATGCAAAACAGTTTGAAGCGCATAATGAAATTACTGTTTCTTATTGGACAAATTCAGGTAGTGTCTCCCTCTTTCAAAACATTTCAAAAGTTTTCTCCTGTTTTGTGCTTACTAACATGACCCTGATATATGGTGTCGTCTGGTGTTTCAGTGGAGGCAGGAGGATTACATTTTAGTCATTTAGCAGATGCTCTTATCCAGAGCCACATAGTTAGTGCAGCCATCTTAAGATAGCTAGGTGGGACAACCACATATCACAGTCATAGTAAGTACATTTTTCCTCAGTCTCTATCTGCAAAGTCAGCGCTAGTAATAGAGGAAAGAGTCAAGTGCGAGTGTTAGTTCACAAAATATGTTTTCAGAAGATTGGTAGGGATTCTGCTGTCTTAGCTTCAGGGGGAAGCTGGTTCCACCATTGGGGTGCCAGGACAGAAGAGCTTGGACTGGGCAGGAGCTGCCCTCCCGTTGGGGTGGGAGGGCCATGAGACCAGAGGTGGCAGAATGGAGTACTCTGGTTAGGGTGTAGGGTTTGAGCATAGCCTGAAGGTAGGGAGGGGCAGTTCCTCTTGCTGTTCCATAGGTAAGCGCCGTGGTCTTGTAGTGGATGTGAGCTTTGACTGGAAGTCAGTGGAGTGTACGGAGGAGCGGGGTGAAATGGGAAAAGTTAGGAAGTTTGAACATCAGGCGGGCTGCTGCGTTCTGCTAAGTTGCAGAGGGTTTGATGGCACAAGTGGGGAGCCCAGCCAACAGCGAGTTGCAGTAGGATTGTGTGTGTTGTGTTGTATTGAGAGTTGTCTGGTGTTTCAGTGGAGGCAGGAGGATCGTGTGTGTGGGCAGTGGTTTTGACCTCATCCAGAGAGCCACCATGAAGGTGCTGCCCTCTACTGACGACTTCTCTCAGGAGGCCCCTCCCATTGAGGTTAGTACACACTACTTCTATTATACAGTACACTACGTGTTATCCATTCTATAGTCCACTCCTATTATACAGTACACTACGTGTTATCCATTCTATAGTCCACTCCTATTATACAATACACTACATGGTATCCATTCTAGAGTCCACTCCTATTATACAATACACTACATGGTATCCATTCTATAGTCCACTCCTATTATACAATACACTACATGGTATCCATTCTAGAGTCCACTCCTATTATACAATACACTACATGGTATCCATTCTATAGTCCACTCCTATTATACAATACACTACATGGTATCCATTCTATAGTCCACTCCTATTATACAATACACTACATGGTATCCATTCTATAGTCCACTCCTATTATACAATACACTACATGGTATCCATTCTATAGTCCACTCCTATTATACAATACACTACATGGTAACCATTCTATAGTCCACTCCTATTATACAATACACTACATGGTATCCATTCTATAGTCCACTCCTATTATACAATACACTACATGGTATCCATTCTATAGTCCACTCCTATTATACAATACACTACATGGTATCCATTCTATAGTCCACTCCTATTATACAATACACTACATGGTATCCATTCTATAGTCCACTCCTATTATACAATACACTACATGGTATCCATTCTAGAGTCCACTCCTATTATACAATACACTACATGGTATCCATTCTAGAGTCCACTCCTATTATACAATACACTACATGGTATCCATTCTATAGTCCACTCCCATTATACAATACACTACATGGTATCCATTCTAGAGTCCACTCCTATTATACAATAAACTACATGGTATCCATTCTAGAGTCCACTCCTATTATACAATACACTACATGGTATCCATTCTATAGTCCACTCCTATTATACAATACACTACATGGTATCCATTCTAGAGTCCACTCTTATTATACAGTACACTATATGGTATCCATTTTATAGTCCACTCCTATTATACAATACACTACATGGTATCCATTCTAGAGTCCACTCTTATTATACAGTACACTATATGGTATCCATTTTATAGTCCACTCCTATTATACAATACACTACATGGTATCCATTCTAGAGTCCATTCCCATTGAGGTTAGTATACCATTCAACAAGTTCTCTGTTTCCTGCCAGTAGTGTATTCTAATCCCTCTAGTGTACAGTACTCTTGCTGTGGTAATATCCATGGCAGGTAGCTAGCATGTCAACAGTGACTCAGTGACCTTAATGTTCTTTGTCTGTGACTACAGACTTCTCTGTGAGACTAAACACAAACAGTGTCCTGCCAGGAATGAAATTGACTTGGATTTCAAACTATCTTTGAATCTCTCTCTTTCTGTGTCTCTCTGTCTTTTCTCTCTCTCTCTTTTCTCTCTCTCTTTTCCACTCCCTCTACCCCTCCCTCCTCTCTCTATGCCCCCCTCTCCATCCCACTCTCCCCCTCTCCAGTTCATCCAGTATGCCCTACATAAGAACGACACAGTGTTGCTGTTTGACAGTCCAGCGGTGAACAGGTCCTATGAGACCCAGTCCTTTAAGACCTTGCTCCAGCTAGACAACGAAGTAGAGGAACTGAAGACCTTTGACTACCACCCCGACCCGTTGTTCAATGAACTGACCAAGAACATCATCACTGAAACCTCCATCATCATCGTCACGGTAAATAACAGTAACACTACTCTTATGGGATTGTGTTGTCATGGTGACTGTTTAGTTGTTATTTGGTTATTTCTGGTAATACTCGCTTATCGTTTTCTGTGGACCATTGTGGCTTAAATGTTATTCTGCTTTGTGACGATGTCCCTCCGCAGAGAAAAGACAATTATAGTGCATTGATATTGATATAATTCATATCAATATTGATGTAATCATATCTGGTATTACAAATGATTGCATGTCCCTCCCTGCAGTCCAGAGGTTAACAGCCAGCCACCTCTCTCTCCCTCCCCAGGGTCGTGGTTTCAGCAAGGGCATGACAGCTGAAGAAGCCCAGGCGTTCGTAGGAGATGCCTCCTGCAAGGTGACCATCCTGCAGGATGACAAGCTGTTCCTGGAAGCTCCGTCCACCCAGCCCAGAGCCCGCTCCAAACGCCAGCGCAGAGACACCAGCTCCGACCCTTTGGACCTAACGGTGACAACACTGGCCTTCTGTCTAAAACCAAGGCATAAAGAGATATGCTTCAGGCATTCGCACTGGACAATCTGATGTCTCTCTGGCTCTCATGTATTTCAGATATAAATGTACTGAGACACTGGAATCCTGGAACCTATCTAAATCAGGGGTGTCCAATCTTAATGGAATGTCCTGTGTTGTAGTCATTCACTTCAGTCAAAGCACACCTGATTCAACCATACAATAATCATAGTCTTCTGACTGGGACCACTCAGTTCTGACAGAGAAATATCAGCATCAACACCTTGATGTATATCTGGCTCTCCACAATTATACACGTCTTGTAGTTTATTCACTTTATTCTGTTTGGCTTAACTGACTCTCTCTCTCTCTCTCTCTCTCTCTCTCTCTCTCTCTCTCTCTCTCTCTCTCTCTCTCTCTCTCTCTCTCTCTCTCTCTCTCTCTCTCTCTCTCTCTCTCTCTCTCTCTCTCCCCTCATCTCTCTCTCTCTCCCCTCATCTCTCTCTCTCTCCCCTCATCTCTCTCTCTCTCAGATAAAGTTTGGTAATGGTGAGTGGGTGGTGGGCTCAGTGAACTATGAGAGGAAGTATGAGATTCCTTTGGCTATCATCATCCCAGCTGTCATCGTCCCTATGCTACTGTTCATAGCTGTGTCCGTCTACTGCTACAGGTACACAACTACACTTCCCATCAAGCACCACTCATGTAGTTCTGATGGGTGAATTGTTTTTACTTAACCCAGTGAAATGGGTGTCTGGAGTTTACACTTTAGGACCAATGGAATAATCTCAAATGTGCAAACTACAGATTCACATAGTGGAACAGTTCTGTAATTTAATGGACTGTTCCTATGTGTTAATGTCTGTAATCTAATGGGTGGTTCCTATATGTTAATGTCTGTAATCTAATGGACTGTTCCTATGTGTTAATGTCTATAATCTAATGGATGGTTCCTATGTGTTAATGTCTGTAATCTAATGGACTGTTCCTATGTGTTAATGTCTATAATCTAATGGATGGTTCCTATGTGTTAATGTCTGTAATCTAATGGATGGTTCCTATGTGTTAATGTCTGTAGTGTAATGGACTGTTCCTATGTGTTAATGTCTGTAATCTAATGGACTGTTCCTATGTGTTAATGTCTGTAATCTAATGGACTGTTCCTATGTGTTAATGTCTGTAATCTAATGGACTGTTCCTATGTGTTAATGTCTGTAATCTAATGGACTGTTCCTATGTGTTAATGTCTGTAATCTAATGGACTTCCTATGTGTTAATGTCTATAATCTCATGGATGGTTCCTATATGTTTAGCGTCTGCTAAATGACTAAAATGTAAATGTAAATGTAATGCCTGTAATCTAATGGACTGTTCCTGTGTTAATAGTCTAATGGACTGTTCATATGTGTTAATAGTCTAATGGGCTGTTCCTGTGTGTTAATAGTCTAATGGGCTGTTCCTGTGTGTTAATAGTCTAATGGCCTGTTCCTATGTGTTAATAGTCTAATGGACTGTTCCTATGTGTTAATAGTCTAATGGACTGTTCCTATGTGTTAATAGTTGAATGGAGTTGTTCCTATGTGTTGTCTGTAGTCTAATGGGCTGTTCCTATGTGTTGATGTCTAATGGACTGTTCCTATGTGTTAATAGTCTAATGGACTGTTCCTATGTGTTAATAGTCTAATGGACTGTTCCTATGTGTTAATAGTCTAATGGACTGTTCCTATGTGTTAATAGTTGAATGGAGTTGTTCCTATGTGTTGTCTGTAGTCTAATGGGCTGTTCCTATGTGTTGATGTCTAATGGACTGTTCCTATGTGTTAATAGTCTAATGGGCTGTTCCTATGTGTTAATAGTCTAATGGACTGTTCCTATGTGTTAATAGTCTAATGGACTGTTCCTATGTGTTAATAGTTGAATGGAGTTGTTCCTATGTGTTGTCTGTAGTCTAATGGGCTGTTCCTATGTGTTGATGTCTAATGGACTGTTCCTATGTGTTAATAGTCTAATGGACTGTTCCTATGTGTTAATAGTCTAATGGACTGTTCCTATGTGTTAATAGTTGAATGGAGTTGTTCCTATGTGTTGTCTGTAGTCTAATGGGCTGTTCCTATGTGTTGATGTCTAATGGACTGTTCCTATGTGTTAATAGTCTAATGGGCTGTTCCTATGTGTTAATAGTCTAATGGACTGTTCCTATGTGTTAATAGTCTAATGGACTGTTCCTATGTGTTAATAGTTGAATGGAGTTGTTCCTATGTGTTGTCTGTAGTCTAATGGGCTGTTCCTATGTGTTGATGTCTAATGGACTGTTCCTATGTGTTAATAGTCTAATGGACTGTTCCTATGTGTTAATAGTCTAATGGACTGTTCCTATGTGTTAATAGTTGAATGGAGTTGTTCCTATGTGTTGTCTGTAGTCTAATGGGCTGTTCCTATGTGTTGATGTCTAATGGACTGTTCCTATGTGTTAATAGTCTAATGGGCTGTTCCTGTGTGTTGATGTATAATGGACTGTTCCTATGTGTTAATAGTCTAATGGGCTGTTCCTGTGTGTTGATGTCTAATGGACTGTTCCTATGTGTGTATGACAGGAGGAAGAGCCAGCAGGCAGAGAGAGAGTATGAGAAAGTAAAACACCAGTTGGAGAATCTGGAGGAGAGCGTGAGAGACCGCTGCAAGAAGGAATTCACAGGTATGTGCACACTATCACACACACTATCACACACCACATACACTGCTATAACATCACACACTATCACACACCACATACACTGCTATAACATCACACACTATCACACACCACATACACTGCTATAACATCACACACTATCACACACCACATACACTGCTATAACATCACACACACTATCACACACCACATACACTGCTATAACATCACACACTATCACACACCACATACACTGCTAAAACATGACACACTATCACACACCACATACACTGCTAAAACATGACACACTATCACACACCACATACACTGCTAAAACATGACACACTATCACACACCACATACACTGCTAAAACATGACACACTATCACACACCACATACACTGCTAAAACATGACACACACACACTATCTTGTTGTGTTCTGGTTCTCCTAGGAGCTAGTCTTGTTGTGTTCTGGTTCACCTAGGAGCTAGTCTTTTTGTGTTCTGGTTCTCCTAGGAGCTAGTCTTGTTATGTTCTGTATCTTCCTCCAGACCTGATGATCGAGATGGAGGACCAGACCAATGACCTGAGTGAGGCCAGGATCCCCTTCCTGGACTATAAGACCTACACAGACCGGGTCTTCTTCCTACCCTCTAAAGACGGGGACAATGATGTCATGATCACTGGCAAGCTGGACATCCCCGAGGGACGGAAGGTCATCGTAGCTCAGGCCCTCAACCAGTTCTCTAACCTCCTCAACTCCAAGACCTTCCTCATCAATGTAGGTTTTACTCAGCTTGCTGAGATGGCTGGATGGCTGACTGTTTCTCTCCCTGTCGGTCTGTCTGTCTGTATGTCTGTCTATTAGGTTGACTGCCTGGCTGCCTGTCTACAGTACTTGTGCCAGATACAGTTTCAGAGTATTGACATAGAGTCGATACTCGTTCTATACCTACAGATGTTCTATTGATTTAAACAGGAGTTGCTAACCCCATCTCTCTGTTGGGTCTCTGTGTGTTCTTAGTTCATCAAGACCTTGGAGGGCCGTCCAGACTTTAACGCCAGGTCCAGGGTCTACTTTGCGTCGTTACTAACTGTGGCTCTGCACGGGAAACTAGAGTACTACACAGACATCATGAGAAGCCTACTGCTGGAACTGATGGAGGAATATGTGCACAGCAAGAACCCCAAACTCATGCTGCGCAGGTGAGACACACACAGCCTTCCAATCAGGCCTGTCTTAATGAAAACCAGCATTTCTTATTGGGCAAGTTTAGATGGTACCCCTCTGTGTTTTCTTATGTTTCGTGCCTAGTAAACACAACACAGGTGGATCACAAGATAACAGTAGATCACAAGAAAGCAGTTAATTAATTGAATTGTTTAATTTATGAATTTGTGTGTGCAGGTCAGAGACTGTGGTGGAGAGGATGCTGTGTAACTGGATGTCCATCTGTCTCTATCAGTTCCTCAGGGTAAGACTCACACGTTGTTTATTCAAACCTGCTCTTTCTTTTAAACCCTCTTTTTCTCTCCATCAATCTCTCACAATCTCTCTCTCTCCTTCTCTCACTGTCTGTCTTTCTCTTTCATTCTCTCTCTCTGTCTCTTTCTGTCTGTCTCTTTCTGTCTCTGTCTGTCTCTGTCTCTCTCTGTCTCTGTCTGTCTCTTTCTGTCTCTGTCTTTCTGTCTCTGTCTCTCTGTCTCTCTCTGTCTCTTTCTGTCTGTCTCTTTCTGTCTCTGTCTTTCTGTCTCTCTGTCTCTCTCTGTCTCTCTGTCTCTCTCTGTCTGTCTCTTTCTGTCTCTCTCTCTGTCTCTCATTCTGTCTCTCTCTGTCTCTTTCTGTCGCTCTCTGTCTCTCTCTCTCTTTCATTCTGTCTCTCTCTCTCTTTCTGTCTCTCTTTTTCAGTCTCTCTCTTTTTCAGTCTCTCTCTCTTATTTTATGTATTGATTCTGAAGTCTTCACATTCTGATTCACATTCTTTCCATCTCTCCACCACTCTTTCTGTCTCTCCAGTTTCCCTCTCCTTTGCTCCCCAATGTCTCACTTTTGTCTTCTAATGTTTCAGATGAAGTGTTTGGTTTGAGACGTTCCAATGAGACCACCCTGGGGAAAACTTATTTATTTGGTCTTATAGATTTGTGGATTAAAGCACTCTTTAAATAATCAATTGTGTGACAGTGAACATGTGGCTGTGTCTTCAGTAATTACACTGAAAGAGAAGAGAGAATGGTCTCATTAGTACTGATGAGCTCACTCCCCTCTGTGTGTGTGTGTGTAGGACTCTGCGGGCGAGCCCCTATACAAACTGTTCAAGGCCATCAAGCACCAGGTAGAGAAGGGTCCAGTGGACGCTAAGATGAAGAAGGCCAAGTACACTCTGAACGACACGGGGCTCCTAGGGGACGATGTGGAGTACTGCGTCCTGGTGAGTACACTCTATACTGCACCGCTCAAAGAATTACAATTAATAGAAGAGATATTCCTATTCAAAGCAGCACTCTATGGTGGGTGAACCAGCAGCCATTTTGAGTGAACTGGATTTTCCAGCTATATCCACTCTACTACCGATTTTGTAATTCTACGACACAAGCCCTCAATACAAGAACACTAGCTGTCTTATCAAGTCTAACCATCTCCTCTGGCTCCTGTGATCTAGTCCTAATGCACTCTACTCACACTGGTACCTGCTTCTCTATGGACTATCTCACTCTCTCAGTGTATTATTGTGATGCGTACGTGACCCAGGACACAGGGGGTGGTAGCGAATGGGCCCCTAGTCACTGTAGATGTCCAATAACATCACATGTAATGGAATAACGACTTTGAGCAGAGGGTCTCAGATCTCAGTGAGGAGAGAGAGAGAGCATTGAGAGAGAGAGAGCATAGAGAGATAATTGAGAGAGAGGGAGTGGTGAGAGCGAGGGAGTGGTGAGAGAGAGAGGGAAAGCTCAATAAGGGCAGAGAGACGGGCTAGAGGTTAATGTTTCCATCAGACTCAATCACTGATAAGGTTGGTTTAACGGACCCTGTAATACGATTGGCTCTCGTAATGGACCTTCTAATACGATTGGCTTTCGTAACGGACCCTGTAATATGATTGGCTCTTGTAACTGACTTTTGTGAAAACAGCGTGTTATCATCTGGAAGAGAAATCAGCTCAGTGATTTATGGGAAAACTGATAGAGAGAGACATCATGTTTCAAGTCTTCTCTCCCCATGCTGTTTTTCATTCATTTAGGCAATAAATTGTATTTTTGGTCAAATAATCAATACACACAAGGCAAATTAATCTACAGAATGCTGTTTTAGACAGCTGTACCCAGCATGTTGCTATCATTTACCAAAACAAATAGGTGTGGCCTAATCATGAGGTCAGAGATCAGTGTGACTCTGGACGATTGACATCTGTGTGTGTCCAATCAGACCCTGCAGGTGCTGGTGCACGGGGAGGGGCCAGACGTGACGCCGGTGAAGGTGCTGAACTGTGACACCATCTCTCAGGTGAAGGAGAAGATCATTGAACAGGTGTACCGCAACCTGCCCTACACACAGAGACCGAAGGTGGACAGTGTTGCTCTGGGTGAGAATGCACACATGCGCACACACACGGTTCTACCATTGTTATCCAATGCTAAGAGTTGGGGAACAACCGGAAGTTTCATGTTTTTGCATGTACGTTAGTCTACATACCTTTAAGTAATATTAGAATGCTAAGGTGCACTTCCCCCCCCGTCCACAGAGTGGCGCCCCGGCTCTACAGGGCAGATCCTGTCAGACATGGACTTGACGTCACAGAAGGAGGGCAGGTGGAAGAGACTCAACACACTGGCACATTACAACGTGAGTGGCTGTCCGAGGACTTCAGCCTTATAGTAGTGATCTCTCTGAATAGCTTCTCAACATATGTATAGTTCATGTGAATATCTATCAGGGCTGGCTGTCTTTATTCATTAATGTTGAATTGTTCTTGGACTTCAGATGTTCCATTGAAATGTTGGGTTTTGCAATCCACAGTTTAGTGAAACTCCAACTATATATGGTTATTTTGTTCTTTTGGTACGTTTGCCCACTGACAAAGACATGATCAGTCTATAATTTTAATTGTAGGTTTATTTGAACAGTGAGAGACAGAATAACAACAAAAAAATCCAGAAAAACGCATGTCAAAAATGTTATAAATTGATTTGCATTTTAATGAGGGAAATAAGTATTTGACCCCTCTGCAAAACATTACATTTACATTTAAGTCATTTAGCAGACGCTCTTATCCAGAGCGACTTACAAATTGGTGCATACACCCTATAGCCAGTGGGTTAACCACTTTACAACAATTTTTTTTTTTTTTTTGGGGGGGGGGGGGGGGGGGGGCTAGAAGGATTACTTCATCCTATCCCAGGTATTCCTTAAAGAGGTGGGGTTTCAAATGTCTCCGGAAGGTGGTGAGTGACTCCGCTGTCCTGGCGTCGTGAGGGAGCTTGTTCCACCATTGGGGTGCCAGAGCAGCGAACAGTTTTGACTGGGCTGAGCGGGAACTATGCTTCCGCAGAGGAAGGGGAGCCAGCAGGCCAGAGGTGGATGAACGCAATGCCCTCGTTTGGGTGTAGGGACTGATCAGAGCCTGAAGGTACGGAGGTGCCATTCCCCTCACTGCTCCATAGGCAAGCACCATGGTCTTGTAACGGATGCGAGCTTCAACTGGAAGCCAGTGGAGTGTGCGGAGGAGGGGGGTGACGTGAGAGAACTTGGGAAGGTTGAACACCAGACGGGCTGCGGCATTCTGGATGAGTTGTAGGGGTTTAATGGCACAGGCAGGGAGCCCAGCCAACAGCGAGTTGCAGTAATCCAGACGGGAGATGACAAGTGCCTGGATTAGGACCTGTGCCGCTTCCTGTGTAAGGCAGGGTCGTACTCTCCGAATGTTGTAGAGCATGAACCTGCAGGATCGGGTCACCGCCTTGATGTTAGCGGAGAACGACAGGGTGTTGTCCAGGGTCACGCCAAGGCTCTTCGCACTCTGGGAGGAGGACACAACGGAGTTGTCAACCGTGATGGCGAGATCATGGAACGGGCAGTCATTCCCCGGGAGGAAGAGCAGCTCCGTCTTGCCAGGGTTCAGCTTGAGGTGGTGATCCGTCATCCATACTGATATGTCGGCCAGACATGCAGAGATGCGATTCGCCACCTGGTTATCAGAAGGGGGAAAGGAGAAGATTAGTTGTGTATCGTCAGCGTAGCAATGATAGGAGAGGCCATGTGAGGATATGACAGAGCCAAGTGACTTGGTGTATAGGGAGAAAAGGAGAGGGCCTAGAACTGAGCCCTGGGGGACACCAGTGGTGAGAGCACGTGGTGCGGAGACAGCTTCTCGCCACGCCACTTGGTAGGAGCGACCGGTCAGGTAGGACGCAATCCAGGAGTGAGCCGCGCCGGAGATGCCCAGCTCGGAGAGGGTGGAGAGGAGGATCTGATGGTTCACAGTATCAAAGGCAGCAGACAGGTCTAGAAGGACAAGAGCAGAGGAGAGAGAGTTAGCTTTAGCAGTGCGGAGAGCCTCCGTGACACAGAGAAGAGCAGTCTCAGTTGAATGACCAGTCCTGAAACCTGACTGGTTTGGATCAAGAAGGTCATTCTGAGAGAGATAGCAAGAGAGTTGGCTAAAGACGGCACGCTCAATAGTTTTGGAAAGAAAAGAAAGAAGGGATACTGGTCTGTAGTTGTTGACATCAGTGGGATCGAGTGTTGGTTTTTTGAGAAGGGGTGCAACTCTCGCTCTCTTGAAGACGGAAGGGACAAGGCCAGCGGTCAAGGATGAGTTGATCAGCGAGGTGAGGTAGGGGAGAAGGTCACCGGAGATGGTCTGGAGAAGAGAGGAGGGGATGGGGTCAAGCGGGCAGGTTGTTGGGCGGCCTGCAGTCACTAGTCGCAAGATTTTATCTGGAGAGAGAGGGGAGAAAGAAGTCAAAGCATAGGGTAGGGCAGTGTGAGCAGGACCAGCAGTGTCATTAGACTTAACAAACGAGGATCGGATGTCGTCAACCTTCTTTTCAAAGTGGTTGACGAAGTCATCCAGAGAGAGGGAGGAGGAGGAGGGAGGGGGGGGGGGGGGGGGAGGATTCAGCAGTGAGGAGAATGTGGCAAAGAGCTTCCTAGGGTTAGAGGCAGATGCTTGGAATTTAGAGTGGTAGAAAGTGGCCTTAGCAGCAGAAACAGATGAAGAAAATGTAGAGAGGAGGGAGTGAAAAGATGCCAGGTCGGCAGGGAGTTTAGTTTTCTTCCATTTCCGCTCCGCTGCCCGGAGCTCTGTTCTGTGAGCTCGCAATGAGTCATCAAGCCACGGAGCTGGAGGGGAGGACCGAGCCGGCCGGGAGGATAGGGGACACAGGGAGTCAAAGGATGCAGAAAGGGAGGAGAGGACGGTTGAGGAGGCAGAATCAGGAGATTGGAGGGAGAAGGATTGAGCAGAGGGAAGAGATGATAGGATGGAAGAGGAGAGAGTAGTGGGAGAGAGAGAGCGAAGGTTGCGGCGGCGCGTTACCATCTATGTAGGGGCAGAGTGAGTAGTGTTGGAGGAGAGCGAGAGAGAAAAGGATACAAAGTAGTGGTCGGAGACATGGAGGGGAGTTGCAGTGAGATTAGTAGAAGAGCAACATCTAGTAAAGATGAAGTCAAGCGTATTGCCTGCCTTGTGAGTAGGGGGGGACGGTGAGAGGGTGAGGTCAAAAGAGGAGAGGAGTGGAAAGAAGGAGGCAGAGAGAAATGAGTCAAATGTAGACGTAGGGAGGTTGAAATCCCCCAAAACTGTGAGGGGTGAGCCATCCTCAGGGAAGGAACTTATCAAGGCGTCAAGCTCATTGATGAACTCTCCAAGGGAACCTGGAGGGTGATAGATGACAAGGATATTAAGCTTAAATGGGCTAGTGACTGTGACAGCGTGGAATTCAAATGAGGAGATAGACAGATGGGTTAGGGGAACAATTGAGAATGTCCACTTGGGAGAGATGAGGATTCCTGTGCCACCACCCCTTTGACCAGATGCTCTCGGGGTATGCGAGAACACATGGTCAGACGAGGAGAGAGCAGTAGGAGTAGCAGTGTTTTCAGTGGTAATCCATGTTTCCGTCAGCGCCAGGAAGTCGAGGGACTGGAGGGTAGCATAGGCTGGGATGAAGTCAGCCTTGTTGGCGGCAGAACGGCAGTTCCAGAGGCTGCCTGAGACCTGGAACTCCAGGTGTGTGGTGCGTGCAGGGACCACCAGGTTAGAGAGGCAGCAGCCACGCGGTGTGAGGCGTTTGTGTAGCCTGTGCGGAGAGGAGAGAACAGGGATAGGCAGAGGCATAGTTGACAGGCTGCAGCAGATGGCTACAATAATGCAGAGGAGATCAGAATGAGATGAACTAAACATCTGGGAAAGGAGAGAGCAGGCCTCCCTCACCAAAAAAATATATAACTCTCCCAACTTCCACCTCAGAAACTATAATTGTTTCACTGAACCACCCGAATAAAACTCTCCCAACTTCCACTTTAGAAATTAGAATTGTTGTAAACTACAGCAGACTGTTATCAGTAGCTGTAATTAAGTACAGCAGCTACCAACCACCTAACGTTAATGCCTCGGATAATGAGGTTAGAAAAACACCTGAATGGTGGCAGCTAGCTGGCTCAATCACAGGTACTCTTAAGCATGAAATAACATTGGAAACAACTAACCACAGTTGCTAAAAGTTACCAGTAGCTACCCGCTAGCTAGCTAGCTAGCTTTGTTGGTCCAAGTAGTGGGTAAGCTAGCCTCGTGCTTCGCCGGGGTCCGCCGAATACAATACTTACCTACAATAATTACCTACAATAACCTACAATAACTACCTGAGTAAACTACCTATAATACCTAACTACAATACCTACCTACAATCTAAATACATGGTTTAAGCTTTACTCAACACCATATAAGAAGCCAAGCTTACCTTTCATAAGGCAGCAATGATTAAACGTGACTTAGTACTTGGTGGCAAAACCCTTGTTGGCAATCACAGAAGTCAGACGTTTCTTGTAGTTGGCCACCAGGTTTGCACACATCTCAGGAGGGATTTTGTTCCACTCCACTTTGCAGATCTTCTCCAAGTCATTAAGGTTTTGAGGCTGACGTTTAGGAAACTCGAGCCTTCAGCTCCCTCCACAGATTTTCTATGGGATTAAGGTCTGGAGACTGGCTAGGCCACACCAGGACCTTAATGTGCTTCTTCTTGAGCCACTCCTTTGTTGCCTTGGCTGTGTGTTTTGGGTCATTGTCATGCTGGAATACTCATCCACGACCCATTTTCAATGCCTGACTGAGAGAAGGAGGTTCTCACCCAAGATTTGACGGTACATGGCCCCGTCCATCGTCCCTTTGATGCGGTGAAGTTCTCCTGTCCCCTTAGCAGAAAAACACCACCAAAGCATAATGTTTCCACCTCCATGTTTGACGGTGGGGATGGTGTTCTTGGGGTCATAGGCAGCATTCCTCCTCCTCCAAACACGGCGAGTTGAGTTGATGCCAAAGAGCTCGATTTTGGTCTCATCTTACCACAGCACTTTCACCCAGTTCTCCTCTGAATCATTCAGATGTTCATTGGCAAACTTCAGACGGCCCTGTATATGTGCTTTCTTGAGCAGGGGGACCTTGCGGGCGCTGCAGGATTTCAGTCCTTCACAGCGTAGTGTGTTACCAATTGTTTTCTTGGTGACAGCTGCCTTGAGATCATTGACAAGATCCTCCCGTGCAGTTCTGGGCTGATTCCTCACCGTTCTCATGATCATTGCAACTCCACGAGGTGAGATCTTGCAAGGAGCCCCAGGCCGAGGGAGATTGACAGTTCTTTTGTGTTTCTTCCATTTGCAAATAATCGCACCAACTGTTGTCACCTTCTCACCAAGCTGCTTGGCGATGGTCTTGTAGCCCATTCTAGCCTTGTGTAGGTCTACAATCTTGTCCCTAACATCCTTGGAGATCTCTTTGGTCTTGGCCATGGTGGAGAGTTTGGAATCTGATTGATTGATTGCTTCTGTGGACAGGTGTCTTTTATACAGGTAACAAGCTGAGATTAGGAGCACTCCCTTTAAGAGTGTGCTCCTAATCTCAGCTCGTTACCTGTATAAAAGACACCTGGGAGCCAGAAATCTTTCTGATTGAGAGGGGGTCAAATACTTATTTCCCTCATCAATTTATAACATTTTTGAAATGCATTCTTCTGCATTTTTTTGTTTTTATTCTGTCTCTCACTGTTCAAATAAACCTACCATTAAAATTATAGACTGATCATTTCTTTGTCAGTGGGCAAACATACAAAATCAGCAGGGGAACAAATACTTTTTTCCCTCACTGTATATATGGTACTGTACTGTGTTAACTATACATGGTACTGTACTGTGTTAACTATACATGGTACTGTACTGTTTACTATATATGGTATTGGACTGTGTTAACTATATATGGTACTGTACTGTTTACTATATATGGTATTGGACTGTGTTTACTATATATGGTACTGTACTGTTTACTATATATGGTACTGTACTGTGTTAACTATACATGGTACTGTACTGTTTACTATATATGGTATTGGACTGTGTTTACTATATATGGTACTGTACTGTTTACTATATATGGTATTGGACTGTGTTAACTATATATGGTACTGGACTGTGTTAACTATACATGGTACTGTACTGTTTACTATATATGGTATTGGACTGTGTTAACTATATATGGTATAGTACTGTGTTAACTATATATGGTATAGTACTGTTTACTATATATGGTACTGTACTGTGTTTACTATATATGGTACTGTACTGTTTACTATATATGGTATTGGACTGTGTTAACTATATATGGTACTGTACTGTGTTAACTATACATGGTACTGTACTGTTTACTATATATGGTACTGTACTGTTAACTATACATGGTACTGTACTGTTTACTATATATGGTATTGGACTGTGTTAACTATATATGGTATAGTACTGTGTTAACTATATATGGTATAGTACTGTTTACTATATATGGTACTGTACTGTGTTTACTATATATGGTACTGTACTGTTTACTATATATGGTATTGGACTGTGTTAACTATATATGGTATAGTACTGTTTACTATATATGGTACTGTACTGTGTTTACTATACAGTGGGGAGAACAAGTATTTGATACACTGCCGATTTTGCAGGTTTTCCTACTTACAAAGCATGTAGAGGTCTGTAATTTTTATCATAGGTACACTTCAACTGTGAAATCCAGAAAATCACATTGTATGATTTTTAAGTAATTAATTTGCATTTTATTGCATGACATAAGTATTTGATACATCAGAAAAGCAGAACTTAATATTTGGTACAGAAACCTTTGTTTGCAATTACAGAGATCATACGTTTCCTGTAGGTCTTGACCAGGTTTGCACACACTGCAGCAGGGATTTTGGCCCACTCCTCCATACAGACCTTCTCCAGATCCTTCAGGTTTCGGGGCTGTCGCTGGGCAATACGGACTTTCAGCTCCCTCCAAATATTTTATATTGGGTTCAGGTCTGGAGACTGGCTAGGCCACTCCAGGACCTTGAGATGCTTCTTACGGAGCCACTCCTTAGTTGCCCTGGCTGTGTGTTTCGGGTCGTTGTCATGCTGGAAGACCCAGCCACGACCCATGTTCAATGCTCTTACTGAGGGAAGGAGGTTGTTGGACAAGATCTCGCGATACATGGCCCCATCCATCCGCCCCTCAATACGGTGCAGTCATCCTGTCCCCTTAGCAGAAAAGCATCCCCAAAGAATGATGTTTCCACCTCCATGCTTCACGGTTGGGATGGTGTTCTTGGGGTTGTACTCATCCTTCTTCTTCCTCCAAACATGGCGAGTGGAGTTTAGACCAAAAAGCTCTATTTTTGTCTCATCAGACCACATGACCTTCTCCCATTCCTCCTCTGGATCATCCAGATGGTCATTGGCAAACTTTAGACGGGCCTGGACATGCGCTGGCTTGAGCAGGGGGACCTTGCCTGCGCTGCAGGATTTTAATCCATGACGGCGTAGTGTGTTACTAATGGTTTTCATTGAGACTGTGGTCCCAGCTCTCTTCAGGTCATTGACCAGGTCCTGTCGTGTAGTTCTGGGCTGATCCCTCACCTTCCTCATGATCATTGATGCCCCACGAGGTGAGATCTTGCATGGAGCCCCAGACCGAGGGTGATTGACCGTCATCTTGAACTTCTTCCATTTTCTAATAATTGCGCCAACAGTTGTTGCCTTCTCACCAAGCTGCTTGCCTATTGTCCTGTAGCACATCCCAGCCTTGTTCAGGTCTACAATTTAATCCCTGATGTCCTTACACAGCTCTCTGGTCTTGGCCATTGTGGAGAGGTTGGAGTCTATTTGATTGAGTGTGTGGACAGGTGTTTTTTTATACAGGTAACGAGTTCAAACAGGTGCAGTTAATACAGGTAATGAGTGGAGAACAGGAGGGCTTCTTAAAGAAAAACTAACAGGTCTGTGAGAGCTGGAATTCTTACTGGTTGGTAGGTGATCAAATACTTATGTCATGCAATAAAATGCAAATTAATTACTTAAAAATCATACAATGTGATTTTCTGGATTTTTGTTTTAGATTCCGTCTCTCACAGTTGAAGTGTACCTATGATCAAAATTACAGACCTCTACATGCTTTGTATGTAGGAAAACCTGCAAAATCGGCAGTGTATCAAATACTTGTTCTCCCCACTGTATGGTACTGTACTGTGTTAACTAGATAAGGTACTGGACTGTGTTAACTATATATGGTACTGGACTGTGTGTTTCAGGTGAGAGACAATGCCACGCTGGTGCTGTCCAGAGTGCTTCACACCCATCGCCAGTTCCACCAGAACCAGGACAGCCATGAAGAAAGTGAGTTATCCCGAAGCACAGATCTAGGATCGGCCTACCTGTCCCCCAATCCTAACCTTAATTTATCAGGGTGGTGAATGCACTACTGACCTGAGATCAGCATCTAGGAAAAACGTCTCAACTTTTGGTCATGTTCATTATGGCCAAACATTTTGCAAGGGGAAACGAAAAAGAATTTAGGGAGTCCCACCCTGTTTGAGTCTGTTATCTTCTATCTGATGCCTACTGAACATGTCCCTGGTGTCTCACCCTGTGTTGTGTGGTCTGGCGTCCCCTGTAGAAAACGCCCTGTTGGAAGATGACAAGGTGTTCCACCTGGTGCGGCCAGCAGACGAGCTGGATGAGGTCAAATCTAAGAGAGGAAGTTTGAAGGCTAAGGCTACGACTAAAGCCATCGCTGAGATCTACCTGACACGACTGCTCTCTGTCAAGGTTAGTCAGTCTGATAACTACACTACATACAGCTGTTATAGCACTCCGTATAGAAGTTATAGCGCTATGTCTAGCAATTATAGCACTAGTAGGAACAGTTACAGCACTACGTATAGCAGTTATAGCACTACTAAGAACAGTTACAGCACTACATATAGCAGTTATAGCACTACTAAGAACAGTTACAGCACTACATATAGAAATTATAGCACTACTAAGAACAGTTACAGCACTACATATAGCAGTTATAGCACTACTAAGAACAGTTACAGCACTACATATAGAAATTATAGCACTACTAAGAACAGTTACAGCACTACATATAGAAATTATAGCACTACTAAGAACAGTTATGGTACTAGTAGGAACAGTTATAGCACCACATATAGCAGTTATAGCACTACTAAGAACAGTTACAGCACTACATATAGCAGTTATAGCACTACGTATAGCAGTTATAGCACTACTAAGAACAGTTACAGCACTACATATAGCAGTTATAGCACTACGTATAGCAGTTATAGCGCTACTAAGAACAGTTATAGCACTACATATAGCAGTTATAGCACTACTAAGAACAGTTATAGCACTACATATAGCAGTTATAGCGCTACGTATAGCAGTTATAGCACTACGTATAGCAGTTATAGCACTACATATAGCAGTTATAGCACTACCGATAGCAGTTATAGCACTACTAAGAACAGTTATAGCACTACATATAGCAGTTATAGCGCTACGTATAGCAGTTATAGCACTACGTATTGCAGTTATAGCACTACATATAGCAGTTATAGCACTACTAAGAACAGTTATAGCACTACATATAGCAGTTATAGCGCTACGTATAGCAGTTATAGCACTACGTATAGCAGTTATAGCACTACATATAGCAGTTATAGCACTACCGATAGCAGTTATAGCACTACGTATTGCAGTTATAGCACTACGTATAGCAGTTATAGCACTACGTATTGCAGTTATAGCATTATGTTTAGCAGTTATAGTACTAGTTATAATAGGCTTATAACACCTTTAGCACAAGTGCAGAATTACTCATTCATTACTCATTTGACCCGGAAAATATAAAATGTAGAATATGTAGCGCTGATTGTGTGGGTGGAGAGGAGATGGACTCATTGTGTGGGTGGACAGGAGATGCACTCATTGTGTGGGTGGACAGGAGATGCACTCATTGTGTGGGTGGACAGGAGATGCACTCATTGTGTGGGTGGACAGGAGATGCACTCATTGTGTGGGTGGACAGGAGATGCACTCATTGTGTGGGTGGACAGGAGATACACTGGAAGTTGTGTGGGTGTAAGTGTGTGTTGTGGTACTTAATGTGAGCTGATGTTTTATGCCTCTGTCAGATACTATCTACTGACTACCTAATATGATATGTGGTTGTTCCACCTAGCTCTCTTAAGATGAATGCAATAACTGGAAGTCTCTCTGGATATGTCCTAGTGTGAGTGTCCTAATATGTGTGTGTGTCCTGTGTGTGTTGCAGGGTACTCTGCAGCAGTTTGTGGATGATTTCTTCCGCAGTGTGTTGTGTTCTGGAGCGGTGGTTCCTCCTGCTGTTAAATACTTCTTTGACTTCCTGGATGAGCAGGCTCTGAAACACGACAACGTTGAGGAGGAGACTGTCCATATCTGGAAGACCAACAGGTACACACACATAGACACAAACACACACACACAGATATGCACACTGTATACACACACGTATAAACACAATAGTTCAGTACCTCCAACCTTCTTCTACACTTGACTGTTCTTACCATGTTGTAGTCCTAGGGTCTGACTCCTTTTTACCATGTTGTAGTCCTAGGGTCTGACTCCTTTTTACCATGTTGTAGTCCTAGGGTCTGACTGCTTCTTACCATGTTGTAGTCCTAGGGTCTGACTCCTTCTTACCATGTTGTAGTCCTAGGGTCTGACTCCTTTTTACCATGTTGTAGTCCTAGGGTCTGACTGCTCCTTACCATGTTGTAGTCCTAGGGTCTGACTGCTTCTTACCATGTTGTAGTCCTAGCGTCTGACTCCTCTTTACAATGTTGTAGTCCTAGGGTCTGACTGCTTCTTACCATGTTGTAGTCCTAGGGTCTGACTCCTTTTTACAATGTTGTAGTCCTAGGGTCTGACTGTCCTACCTTCCCTGGAAGTTATCAGAGTGAATTATTTAACTCCTGTTGATGGGAACTATTAAATATAGATACTGCTTGTGATGTATATTTGATTGACAGGTGGGAATGAGTGTCAGAGTAAGAGCTGTAGTCAGGATGAGGAGCTGAAAGACTGACTTCATTAGACTCTAGAGACATCTCTCTCACTATCTATCTTCTCCTCTTTCACTCACTCCCTCTCTTTCTTCCCCTGTTTCTCTTCTCTCCATTCTCAGTCCCTTCCTCTTTATCTAACTCTCTCTCTCTCTCTCTCTCTCTTTCTCTCTCTCCCTCCCTCTCTCTCTCTCTATCCTTTCTCTCTCTCCCTCTCTCTTTCTCTCCCTCCCTCTATCTCGCTCTCCCGCTCTCTATCTCTCCCACCCCTCTCCTACATATCAGCAAGAGGAGATATCAGCAAGCCAATTAAATGAGGGCTTCCAGTGAATGTGTTATGTGATGCAGCTAACAAAGCTTGATAATTATACCCCGCTATCCTTGGATAATGTTCCCCAGGCCTTATCTCCAGTAAAGAATAGGTTTTTAGGGGTTAGAGCTGTTGTGAAGCTGAGCTGGCTAGAGGGGAGAGAGGGAGAGAAAGGAAAGAGAGAGCGAGCGAGCATCCAGCGAACAAATATAAATTCTTAAAGAGGCTCTAGCTCGGTGTACGCTGAGGTGACCTGGAGGAGAAGACACACACACACACACACACACACACACACACGCACACAGACAGACCGCAGACTCATTAGGAATTCACTCGACCAAGGCTAATTCAGAGGTAGATGGAGATCTGATGACCCCTGTAGGCTCCTCCAGTCAGCATTCTAATAACACAGAACTCAAGTCCTTCTCAAAGGAGTAGAATCTCACCACTTGAATAGGATTTCTATATGGGCTGAGGCTGGAGGACTCTGGCAGGTGGTGGGATTATTAGGCTTTATTCAGCCTTACTCACACTTGTTTAGTTGTGGTTTCCTGTGTTGAGTTAAGATGTCTGGGTTTGAGTGACTCAGCTGGTCTGTGAGGGAGAACGAAAAGGGATCTGTTATCTTGTTAAATTAGATGGGAAGGAGTTGGGCTTTAGTTTGGACAGCCTGCAACTGTTTCACCTTGCTCTTATGCTGGGTTAAGCTGTGCTGCTCTGTGCGGTTGTGTGTGTGTGTATATACTAATGTGTGTGTTCTCCTTCCCCAGCCTGCCCTTGCGTTTCTGGGTGAACATCCTGAAGAACCCTCACTTCATCTTTGACGTGCACGTGACGGAGGTGGTGGACGCGTCGCTGTCCGTCATTGCTCAGACCTTCATGGACGCCTGCACCAAGACGGAACACAAACTGAGCCGGGAATCTCCCAGCAACAAGCTGCTCTATGCAAAGGAGATCTCCACCTATAAGAAGATGGTGGACGAGTGAGTTCTCTCATATTCATCCCAGAACATATGATGATGAGGATTGGATTGACTGCCAATCTAATGAGCCGATACTGCAGTACTCTTGACCAATATAGAGAATAGGTTGCAGTCCGAACACACCAGATGTAGTATTATCTCTTCTAGTGCATCATAAACAACACAGGGGATAGGTTGGTAGGACCTGTCAGCCAATCAGACATCTCATCTCGCTCTCCTTCTGTCTCTCCTCAGTTACTACAAGGGAATCAAGCAGATGGTCCCAGTCAGTGACCAGGACATGAACACACACCTGGCTGAGGTGTCCAGGGTACGTACCTGTGTGTTCACGTGTGACCTCACATCTGTTTGTGGTTGTGTGTGGGCAGTCTTCTATTGCATCATCAGAATACACCAATAAGATTCATCCTTCCTTCTTTGTCCTCTCCAGGAACACACAGACAAGCTGAATACCCAGGCGGCCTTGCACCAGCTCTACCAGTATGCCAGCAAATACTATGACGGGGTAAAAACCTTACTACTCACTTCCTTGTTTGGTGGTTTGAAGGCCCTATCCACTTGGTTAAGAACCTTAGGACTCACTTCCTTGTTTGGTGGTTTGAAGGCCCTATCCACTTGGTTAAGAACCTTAGGACTCACTTCCTTGTTTGGTGGTTTGAAGGCCCTATCCACTTGGTTAAGAACCTTAGGACTCACTTCCTTGTTTGGTGGTTTGAAGGCCCTATCCACTTGGTTAAGAACCTTAGGACTCACTTCCTTGTTTGGTGGTTTGAAGGCCCTATCCACTTGGTTAAGAACCTTAGGACTCACTTCCTTGTTTGGTGGTTTGAAGGCCCAATCCACTTGGTTAAGAACCTTAGGACTCACTTCCTTGTTTGGTGGTTTGAAGGCCCTATCCACTTGGTTAAGAACCTTAGGACTCACTTCCTTGTTTGGTGGTTTGAAGGCCCTATCCACTTGGTTAAGAACCTTAGGACTCACTTCCTTGTTTGGTGGTTTGAAGGCCCTATCCACGTGGTTAACTACCTCTGCATTGTCCCTACATCCTGTAGGAAATTAGACAAATGAATGGCACTTGCTGTCGCAGAAAATCTGTTTACTACTGTCTCTTCTGTGTCCTCTCTCGTTTACCCTCCCTCCCTCCCTCCAGATCATCCAGTCTTTAGATGAAGACCCAGCCGCCCAGAGTAAACAGCTGACCCTGCGGCTGCAGCAGATAGCCGCCGCCCTCGAGAACAAGGTCACTGACCTTTAACCTCTGACCCCCAGAGAGGTGGGGCCAGATATAGGGGGAGGAGCTATGGGACCACTGTAGACCAAGATGAGGGGGACCGGAGACTGAGGCAGAACTCGTTAACTTCAGACTATTACAGTACCAACCATGAAGAGTTACACATATCAATCTTCCGCCTAGAGACAGGATGTGGGAAACTATGGCGTTTGGGGAAAATACTTGTGAAGGAGCAGAACTACAGGGCCAAACTTGGACAGGATGATTCCTAATCACTCCATCTCCCTCTCTCTCTCTGACTCTATGGATCCTATAGACTCTGAATGAGCAAGGGCCTACAGTATAGTCCCTGAGTGAGCTAGCAGACTGTAAACCCCGACAGAGGATATACGGTACACCGCCACTGACCAACCATAGCAACTATACCTGTCAGCCTCATGACATACAACCTGGTGTTGATGACTTCCAGCTTGTACAGATAATCAGATGTTTAATGTGCTCCAGAGTTAAGAGTAGTATTGTATGTACATATATTTTTATGGCGCAGGCTTTATGCAAAAGACGCTTTACATACCCAGATGAAATTATTTTTTAAACGGATGGATGGGCACAACTAAGTTTGTTAATTTGTGTTTTTAAAACGTTTCTAGAAGCGAAGAAACAGGGTGTTCCATGATGTCATATATCCTGTGTTTAATCGATTGGTTGCTTACTGTGTAATCTGCGTTGCCATTGGCTAGTTATGACTGGTTAATGATGTTGTTATTCTAAAAATGGCCGAACTTTGTTTTTGCCGTGATTTTTATTTGTCATTGATATATTTTTTCATTCAGTTCTCCTGTGTAGTGCAGTATGTAGGGGAATAGGGTGCAACAGCCTGAACCACTTCATATGAATGACTGTGTCACTATTCAGGGTCAGCTCTCCCCTAAACAGTAGTAAAACACACCAACAAGACCAGTACTAAAAGATGAAGCACATTCATACTGTACCATTGATATCAACGTCTCACTGAAACTAACTGACGGACCAAGTTAGAGCTCTCTCACACACTAGCCTTTGGTTTGACTAAGTGCCAATCGACAGTAGAGCTGAAGTGAACATCTTCTCATTTTTATTCAAGCAACACATCATTTGCCTTAATTTTTCCATCTTGGGTCCAGAAACGGTGCATATGTGGATAGATGAATCAGTGCTTGTTAATCTGAAATGTAACCACTTTAGCTCGATGCTAATAATACAAAATGTTTGCTGTTATGTGCTATGCCATAATTTGTTTTTTTGTATAATTTTTTTAACTGTTTATTTCAAAATGGCTCTTATTGTTTGTGTGTGAAACAAGAGACTAGATATTGAAGAGAGAAATGCTAAAATGATCATTACATATGTATATAATTGAATGGTACTTTTATAAATCATTGAACTGTGAACCACCATGACTCGTGGAGGTTGTCAACTCGGTACAGGTACTGCCTTTTTCTATTGAGCAATTCTTCTGAAACCATTTGAATGGATTTCAAACGTCATCCTTAAATAATTTGCCAAATAGTTTTCCCCATTTGCTTTATTTGCTATGCAAACTGCCGAATCATTTTCAATCACTCCTCAAATATATTTGAATACTAAACCCATGTGTTGTCATCCTGAAGCTATACGGGGGTAGATGAATAGAATTAGTCTATGGCGCATGATGTGATGCTGCATATTCCCTCAATCTCCCATACAGTGTGCATATCCTCACACATTGACCTGGTGATGTATTTAAGGGTGCGTGCCAAATGGGGCCCCAAAAAAGTGCACTATCAAGGCAATAGTGCCATTTGGGACGCAACCTAAGTGTGTCGGAGTTCATCTGAGCATTGTTAGGTTGTTCCTTACTGCGTTCACCACATAGGGTCAAATGGGGACACTTGTGAAACTCTATCATAAATAAATTGAAATTCGAGCTCTTTCCTCAAGTACAGGATTCGTCTCAGTTCATCTGAGGATGCTGGTTTCTCCATGCTTGCCACCTATATGGGCGAATGAGGACCAATCCTAATATGGGATATGACTAAGCACCTAATGCAGACACCTAACTCTGTCATTAATATTAATACGACTTGAGAGGAAAATGTGAGACTCTTTCCTCAAGTTGTGATTCGTCTCAACCCCTCTGTTACCATAGCAGGTGGCTAAGGCCTGATTGAGGATGCGTCCCAAATGGCACCCGATTCCCTATAGGGCCCTGGTAAAAAGTAGTGCACTATATAGTGAATAGGGTGCCATTTGGGACTGAACCTCAGTGTTCATGCCCAGGGGGGTAGATGGCATCAGCAGACTGTCTAGTGTTGGTGTGGCGTGGCTGCCTGTCACATACCCAGTCTCTGCCCACTCTAGACGACCCACACCAGCCAGACAGACGGACACAGCAGGGGAACTCCTTTGATCTCTAATTATAACCAGACTGCACAAATCATCACTGACTTGACTAATTTATGCATTTTTCATTTTCTCTTTGTCACTTTCTCTCTCTTGTTCTCTGGTTCTTTCTCACTACTCTCTCTCTGTCTCTGTCTCTCTGTGGCTCTGTGTCTCTCTGTCTTTCTCTGCTTATTTTTGCCTTTTCTATTTATCCAGGAAGTGCCTTAATGAATAGAGAAGTGATAATAATAATAAAGGTAGTGATGATGGGAGGAGAAAAGAGGGAAAGCCTAATTCTCTTTATTATCAGAGAATTAGGCTTTCCCCCAAATGGTACCCTATGTTCCCTACATTGGTCAATGGTAGGGCACAATGTAGGGAACAGGGTGTGGGCCCTGGTCAATGGTAGGGCACAATGTAGGGAACAGGGTGTGGGCCCTGGTCAAGGGTAGGGCACAATGTAGGGAACAGGGTGCCATTTGGAACACAGCCTAATTGTAAAAACCATGACACTGTCAGCACTGTAATGGGTAAGTGATCTGTGTGCCAGTGAGTGTTGACTGACTGAATACAGCGGACCAGTGTTTTTTCCCCCTACATCCTATCGATGTGTTTTGGACTAGGGCGGCAGGTAGCTTAGTGGGTAAGAGCGTTGTGCCAGTAACCGAAAGGTCGCTGGTTCTAATCCCAGAGCTGACTAGGTGAAAAATCTGTCGATGTGCCCTTGAGCAAGGCACTTAACCCTAATTGCTCCTGTAAGTCGCTCTGGATAAGAGCGTCTGCTAAATGACTAAAAAAAAAAAAAAAAAAAAAAAAAAAAAAAAAAAAAAAAAAAGATGAAAGCTTTGTTGGGCTGCAGACAGGGCTGTAGCAACGACTGATTAATCAATTCCAGTGAGGAAAAACGCAATACTCTCCACTTCTTAGATGGTTCAGAAAGGAAAGGTTGGTGGAGGGCTTTATGACGCCACCCACACCCAACTGAGTGTTTTGTAGTCAGAGAATGTTTATCAAGACTCATTTTATTCAAGAGATCAGCTAGTGTGTGTGTGTGTGTGTGTGTGTGTGTGTGTGTGTGCCTGTCCTTCCATGTGTAGTTCCGAGCAATGTTTGTCGCCATGCAGCTGAGCAGTTGTGTGTGAACTCTTCTGACTGAGACAGATCTGTGTGATTCCCCCTCTGTCTGTTAAGCCTGTTGGTGTTCCTGACTGTGGCCTGGACTGGGTTGGCATGAAGGGTGACGAGAAGATGTCCGCCTGCACACGTTAGTGAATCTGCTGCCTGGCTGTGTGGAGAAGAAGTCAATCTGCTGCCTGGCTGGCTGGCTATATGGAGGAGAAGTGAATCTGCTGGCTGGCTGTGTGGAGAAGTCGTCAATCTGCTGCCTGCCTGGCTGGATGGCTGTGTGGAGAAGTCGTCAATCTGCTGCCTGGCTGGCTGGCTGGCTGGCTGTGTGGAGGAGAAGTTAATCTGCTGCCTGGCTGGCTGTGTGGAGGAGAAGTTAATCTGCTGGCTGGCTGGCTGGCTGGCTGGCTGGCTGGCTGGCTGTGTGGAGGAGAAGTTAATCTGCTGGCTGGCTGGCTGTGTGGAGGAGAAGTTAATCTGCTGGCTGGCTGGCTGGCTGGCTGTGTGGAGGAGAAGTTAATCTGCTGGCTGGCTGGCTGGCTGGCTGGCTGGCTGGCTGTGTGGAGGAGAAGTTAATCTGCTGCCTGGCTGGCAGAGGAGAAGTGGGAAACACATCTGGAGACTGTCAGCCACATACTCCCCCTTCTCAGCCCCGTCCAGGTCTGGTCTGGGGCTCCTCTCCTCTGCAATCTCAGCCATGACTAACTGAACTCTGGCCAACACTGGTCCAACAGCCAGGCCAGGCGTTCCATCCCTCTAAATCTTTTAAACCCCCAACACCACATACAGAACCCTTTGTTTTGTATGCCAGTCTGTTCAGAAGACATTGTAGTGAATGTATGCCAGTCTGTTCTGCAGTCCGTCTGTGTATATTTGAGTGTAAACAGTGATATTCTATTGAGAGAACCTCCAAGCAGTTCGCGCAAGAGCTCTGTAAAGACATTCTCATTAGCCCAAAGCACTAACGGCTCTGCTAAAATAAAATAAAAAATGATGAAAGCGTTTGGGTTCTTGTCTCGCTCCTTAACAAGCCTCTCGTAGCAGAGGAGGGCATATCAAGGTGCAAGCCAAATCACTCACACACACACTGCATCAATGCTACTGTACAGTATATATGAGTGCACTATAGCAGGGTTTCCCAAACTCGGTCCTGCCAGAGAGAGGGGTGGACACTGATCTGATGGGAGATAGCCAGAGAGGGGTGGACACTGATGGGAGATAGCAAGGGAAGAGGATGACTATTGGAGGATGTCTTGCGACATCAACATCTCGTCACAACAGCTCTCCATCTTTCATAATCGCACCCTATTCCCTATGTAGTGCACTACTTTTGTGCACTATATAGGGAATAGGGTGCCATTTGGGACGAACCACTGTCATTCTCCTGCTAACTGATTTATTTCACTGCCAAACCACACTAGTATACCACTTAGAATGAAGCAATGTATTGGCCATTCATTCTACGTGCAATGCTAGTGTGGATATTGGAACATAGTACTTGTCTCCTAAATGGGAGCCGTATGGGAGTCCTACTATGTGACCCTGAGCCTGAGTAATCACAGTTGGTAGGGTATATCTGAATTTCAAACGCCAACGACTTCCCCTCGTCAGCCCACTGATTACGCAAGAGAGGGAGGGCAGCATCTCTGAAGTAGTTAAGTAATCAGACCAACCCACATGAGAAATGTATTTTCAGTGTCTTCAGATGTGGCTTGGCTTCATTAAGTGTGTGTGGGACACCTGG